GACTGTGTGAAGAAATGGTTGTAATTCCTACACGGTTCATACTACATTTTTGAAAAAAGCCTTAAATGAAAGCTGAGAGTCTGCACTTTAAGCAGGTATTCATTGTTTCATTTAAAACCCATTGTGGTGGTGTACAGAGCCAAAATGATGACAACTGTATCATTGTCCAAATAATTATGGACTTAACTGTATGTATAAACAGTGTCACAGCACAGAAGGAAGCGTGCATCTATCTGCTAGCACCACTGGACTAGCTAACGTTACAGGGGAGCGTATCTATGTTTACAGGGTCTATGTTTTCCCACTTAACCCTGCAAAAAAGGTTCTATGTTCCCCCGCTTACACAAAAAAGGTTCTATGTTTCCTGGGTTCTATGTTTCCCGCTCAACCAAGCGGGAAACATAGAACCCTTTTTGCAGGGTTAAGTGGGGAATATAGAACCCGGGAAACATAGAACCCTGGAAACATAGGGATGACCCCTGTTAGAGCTGGCAAACGTTAAGAAATACTCTTCCCTCTGTGTGGTGATTCAGTTGATGGGGGTCTTCAAGAAAATAGTTCCTACATGAAACTGCTCACAACAAGGTCTGTCTATCTTGAGTAACTGGGTCATGATTTCTGCAAAGACACATTGCGGTTGACTTTTTCCAACTGTATTTTTTGGTACTTTGAGCACCACAAGCTGAGTGCCACCTAGTTACATTATATTCGAGAGGGCAGACATCTCTACAGCTGATACCTCAAACACTGCAATTCACACCAAGACAATCCAGACTGATTAACAGCGCTACAGGTTAGAGGAAAAATATGAATTACTGTCCCTTTTTTTGTTTGTTTTGTACTGGGAGAGATATGAGCGTATTTAGTACAGAGCTCTATATATTGTACCTATAAAACATTCCCAACACACTGGAAGTTGATTCACTGTCTTAAAACAGTGAATTAAGTAGATCTGCTTTAACTTTGACATTAAAGAATCTTTTCCTGTTAATCAAAAACCTACAGGAGAGGTGAATTTATTTTACAGGCAGTGTAAATGTTGATTCATACGCAACAGCCACAGGAAGCTAACAGTGAATAGATAGTGATTTTTTTGTTCATCACCTCACATCTGGTGGAAATACACGTGCTGAGAGTAAAGAACAGAGACCGTTGTTTGAGCCTCTCTAAAGCAGGCAGCCTGGCAGTTAATGGTTGCCATAGGAACATTTGCGGTTTTATGTCAGGCTGTACTGCTTTAGATGTAGGCTAGTGGAGAGAGAAAAACCAGGAGGAACGCTACGTTATCTGAGAAGGAGAGAGAGAAAGGAGAAAGTGGACCACACAAGACACAAGGAGACACCAACCACCAGAGCCAGTCCCTTTATTGTACACAACACCTCTTTATTTACTCTCCATCCTAAATCAGTTCATGATGTTTATTCAAATCAATTAATTGCTACAGAGGCACTTGACAAGGGTTTGCAAAACAAAAAGAAAAGAGATTTTTGCAGGTTGGTTTCCAACCCCTTCCACCAGATCCAGACAGGGGAAGGAAAGAGGAAGGAGGCAGGGGACATCTATTAGGAAGGAAGGCAGTATCGCCACAGCCTAATGTATTACAGGGCATTACAGTCTGGGCTTCCCAAGGGCAGGCTGAAGTGACAGGCACAACGGGATTTCAGCAAACTTTGGCCAATAAAAAGTTTTATCACATGAGCTAACTTTTGTGTACCGGGGTTTGTGAAACGTGAAGGGTCTTCAATCAAAAGCGTCTGAGCGGTTTCATAAACTTATTTCAATCCTGCTGGCACTGTCACTGAGAGCCAGACCTGGAGAGGAATACAAGGGAAGAAGAAGGCATACTCTGTCTCAAGAGTCTGTGGTTTGAGACGGTTTTGAATTCTCTACCGTTTCTTTGTCTTGTCGGGTTGGCTAATTAAGTTTCTATCCTCTGTGGCGAGAACAGAGAAAAGTCTAGACAGAGTGTGCCTTCATACACCACAAATCCCACCACCTGCTCACCACAACTACTGATCAAACCTAAAACAGAAAACATCCTAGTAGCCCAACGTCACTCCCCGCTTGACCAGTTTCCCCCAAACTCCCAAGATGTTTTAACAAAAAGAAAATGGTCAAATACCCTCACAGAGCAATCAAAAGGTATCATTATTATCAAATAACCACAGCTGTGTAGATGGTGTCCAGCCCCGGGTGCCTTTCCCACACATCTAGACAGCTAATCCCTGTAGCAAAAGTCCAGGAGAAGCTGGGGAGTTGTACAGAGCTGATACAATTGCAACCAAAAACATCAAAAAGAAATGACAAATGCCCAGGTTATAAATAATGCATCAGGAGATGACCAATCTCTTTTTCCCCACAACCAAGGCCAACGTATGAAGTGACAGTGTTAGTGCTTCCTTTAACATGACCACTACAGTCGCATTTTAACGTGTTGGGCTTCAATTAGAATTAATAGCGTGTTTTTGTTGTCCACCCTGTGATTAAATGAAATACAAGTGCTAACTCCCCAGTATAGGCCAGCTATATACAATATATTAAATGCATTGAAGCAGAACTTATAGCGATAATAAATGTCCTTGACGACTAAGGCCAGAAAGAGATGTGCCAACTCCTAAATGCTTAATACCATCTTTATACTCTGAATCACGTCCTCGTCTGTACACCCCGCGTTTTATCCTCTCTGAGAGGAAACTGTGCTGTGTGCTCTGCTCTGTATGAATCAGTTAATCCAGGAATGAACAAAGTCTACCTGAAGGCTGAAGGTGTCATCTGGGTTCATCCGAGACTGAAGGGGATTATAATTCAAGGCTGTAAAAACTTACTGGAGAGAAAAGCATCCGACAAAGTGCAGACAGCCTTCAGCCTGTTTCCCTCCCTCTCCCGGGGTTTTTTTTTTGTGCATAGTGTTCTGCTAACGGACTACAACATCCCTGTTATGAGTGGCGTGCTGTAAGGCTACATGGCTAGAAGTGCTTGGATCATAATGGTCAATGTATCTGACATCTTTTCATTTTGGAAGGATGCTTCACACATCGGGGGCTGAAGCTACTCTCTGAGGTCTTATGCAACTCCGCCCTGTGTCTTTTCAGGCTTTGCTTTTATCTGAGATTAGGATTTTACTTTTTAAAGCTACATTTATGACGATCATTAAAAAGGACAAAGTCGTTCAAATAAAATAACACAAGGGGGAGGGAAAAAAAAAAGTAATCGGCACCACCAAAATAACAACACTGATAATAAGCTATTGTTCAGTATGAAATCAGTTAGGAAATGAAAACCCAGTAAAACATTAACAACAGGTTAAGTGTGTATATTACACAGAGATCTAGACTTGAGCGTCTCGGCCAATCTAAAAAGGTGGCGGGAGGGGAGAGGAAAGCCAGCCTGTAATAGTTAATAAGTTATGCTGGGAACCTTGTCAGAGGAAATACACCAGTTATTATAATAAAAAAAAAAATGATACATCATCTCCTACTGATAGAAGCTAAATGCATCACCCAGATCAGCTGGGTTTTCATTTTGTATTACACAATTTCCACAGCAGTCAAATGTAATATTCAAGTGGTTACGGGCCTTGTGTTGTTCATGTGCACTGATAAAGATGGTATTAGCAGCTTATTACATTGCTTGAAAAGACATATTAATACGGCTGGACAATGCACATTATGCACGGCTATCAGTCAGCCCCTCCCCTCGAGCCCCCGCACCTGGCCTTTTAGTGTGCAGATACACACACCCACACACAAACACACACACTTAAGGTGGGCTTGGCCACGGGTCTAGTCTAGCAGGGAGGGCTCAGCAGGGCGGATAATGGTGGGTCGGTGAGTAGGAGCGCCAGGGGGTCTTCGGCTGCAACGGGGAGAGAAGATAGACAACAAGGGGTGAGACGTGCTCACAAAGTGACAGTGGAGAAACCAAAACAACCCGACAGAGAGAACAGAGTAGAGAAGAGTGAGAGAAGAATGAATGCTGGGAAATAATATAAATATAGAGATGGAATAACTGGTGAGAGTGAGAAATGACAAACCATGCCTGTGACTCTTGAAAGACGATGAAAAAAGATGGTGAGATGTTACTGACAGCAAAGATTACATAATATACGCATCAGGAAGAGGTCATACCTGGGAACACCGGGTGGGACGCGGGCTGGCCGGGAGGGGATCTGTGGAGGTGCGCTGAAGGGATCCTGGTGGCTGTTGAAAGCGTTGATGGGTGGGCCTGGGCGAGACGGGATTGGTGGTGCCCCGAAGGCGGGTGAGGGGTTGAGCGGGGCTCCAAAAGCAGGGGAAGGGTTCATGGGTGGTCCTGGTGTTGGGCCCCGAACAGCAGGCGGGCGGCTGGGGGCCTGGGCTGCTGCAGGAGGCGGCCTGCGCTGAGGGGTCGGGCTGAGAGGAGGAAATGATTGAATGAAACTACATTGCAATAATCACCTAAAAGATCCTGTAGGGGTGGAGATGAGGCAATTTTATTTGAGTCCTTTCTAAGAAAAAAATGTTGAGTTGTTTGATACACTTAAAACTGTGTGTGCCATTAGATGCTGTATTTTCCAGCTGCTACACTAAAGCTCAACTAACTGCTAGTTAACCCTTATCTCACCTTGCTTCTTGGATCCAGGTGTCATTTACGGGTGGGGGTACTGGGGTGGAGATGGTGCTGGTGCTGATGTCGCCAATAATGTGCAGTGCCTCCTTGAGTGCGTGATACATGCGCAACATTTCGTCTCTGCGCTGAGCCTGGTCAGCCGATTCCTCCATGAGGCTGTTCTGGTCCCCAGACGAGTAGAGGTAGGCCAGCAGCTCTGAGTGGATGAAATCCTTTGCCTGAATGGAAGTTAAGATTATTAAAACACAGGGTTGAAACTTACATCAACACACACACAGAATTCTTAGATATATTGCAGCAGTAGCCAAAAATAAAATGATCAGAGGGCTCATAAATTTTAAAAAAAATGTGTTTGACAGAAGTGAAAGTCTGCAGCTAAGAAAAGAGGGGTTTGTTTAACCACAATGGCAAAAACAATTTATCGATAGAGACATTTGATCCTTAAACAAAATATTAGGAAGCCTTGGGAAAGGAGCTGCTCAGTGCACAATGGTGTAAGGATTGGTTTTGTGTGCAGCTGCTGGATGCTGGAAGCCATCAAGTGAGCTCACCACAATAATAAAACCTTATAAATGGACAGTGGACAAGTCGCTGTGAGCAGGCACCATAAATCCTAGTAATTAGTGTCTTCAAGTTTATGACCTTGTGTGAACATGAAATACATGACCACTGTTGCTACTAAAACGAACAAGAAAACCTAACGCTTCTCTGCACAGCTCCATAGTGTAATGACATTTACACTTAATTAAACAGCGTCTTAGCTCAGAACACTGGATTACCAGGTGCCTTGATTACTTTTATAATGCATAGAGAAATCTAGGATGCTACATTTGCTGGATAATAGCAACATTAGCTGTTAGCATACATAGCTAAAGTCTTCTAACTCCATATACACATACATATACACACGTACTAGGATATGCAGAGCTCTGAAAAACTGGATCTTCATACCATGTTTTTTAAGTAGGGATCCAGTATTTTGCATAGCACACAGCCTTAAGTGTGGGAGGATACACTTACACAACTAACCCACTAAGTGCACTGGGCTGTGCACTGCACAATGTGGGGGTCATGGCTAAATGCAGTCTTTACTGTGAATTACCCATAAGTGAAATAGAGTGCACAGTGTCAAGGTTATCATTCTACAGCCAAATCCCATTTCTTCTAAGTACACCTACCCCTGGTTTTCAAGTGCCCCTTTGTCCTTTTTTGAAATCTTCCCATATATTACATCATCAGTAGTTGTTGATGGCATTCACATAAACAGACGTGACTATGGCCAGAATGGTATGATCACAATGACACTTGTCATCTATCTGATGGAGATAGAAAAGCATGGATGCTTGCAATTTGTTTACAACTTAAGTTTCAAACAAGGCATCTAATAAAAAAAAGAACACCTCTTCATTAGCAGGACACTAGTGGTGCTCTATAGGCTAATGTTAGCAACCCGTGCTCCTACCCTGCCACTGCTCCTCTATTTGAACATAAATCAGGACATTCTACCCCTACACCTTAACACCCAAAACAGTGGCTTAGGCTCAATCCCAATTACCCTCCTGCCTCTATCACTTCGCCCGTACCCCCTTGTTTTGCGAGTTGTACCAAGCCTAAGTCTGTTCCTGGATCTGCAGAGAGCCTCTATTAATGCATTGTGTCTTCCGCTGAAGACTGTTGGACTCACACTGTTGATCATGAGATGCATGATGGTCTTGGGCACGAGGTCTCTGGTGGATTTGTTGATGATGCCGATGTACGAATCCACCAGGTTGCGGATGGTTTCCACCTGTCGCTCCAACTGAGGGTCCATAGAGAATGTGTCTGCCGGGGCAGCCTCTTCATTCTCCGTCTGACAACATAACACGCACACAAAGATGAAGTATAAATATATAATAAATAAATCTTCAAAGCTGCTCTCTGTGGAAGTAGAAATTATAACAACTGTCCAAAAAGAGAAACACAGGCTTGCCAATGTTGGTGACTGATGTACGGAAACACAAAGCCCCACCCAACCAACCACATACCTGGTCCTTCTCCGGATAAACTCCTGCCCTGAGGAAGGACGCTTTCCAGCTGTCCACATCTTCCTGAGAATCACAGGCCAGCTCTATCTGGCGAAGATCCTTGTACACATTCCTGTACAGATAAACAAAAGACAAACACTTGTCTTTGTGAGTGTGTAGGCTTCGCCAGTACAGAATACAAATACTTTTATTGTCATTCATTTTCACACATGTATGAAATTCAGTGTGCTGTACTAAGCTCCAAGGTCATGTATGCAGACAGACACACAAAAGGTAAGCACACGTGCATTCACATGTCTTTCACTTGACAACATAAACCTGACCTCTGTTCAGTGTTGAAGATTGCAAAGATGTGCTTTGTGGACATAAAGCCTTTCTCCACATCTCTGATCTTCAGGTTATCCAGCGGCAGCATATACTTCTTTTCTTTCTCCTAGCATGAGGCAAACAAAAGAAATGTGTATTTAGAGCAGAACTGAGACCTGAAATATACAACAAAAATAAGTGATAAGTTCAGGAAGTGATTGTATTTATTTTGGTAACAAGATTAAAACAGATCTCCACCGATGAGCAGACATCATGGAATGCATTTCCTCTGTGAGGACCACCACCAGGCTGGTGAGATGGAGAAATGCATGATGGGGGAGAAGAGGAGGAGGAGAGGAAGAAAAGGAGGAGCATGAGGGAGTTCGGGGGGGGGGGGATGGGGGATGGGGTGCCAGCTTTCACTGTTGAGCAGAGACATCTGGAAGCATTTACGTCTGCACTAACACAGAGCGGCGCAGGCCCAACAGTTACATCACTCGCAGTTCCACACAATCCCCCACCCTCACCACATACACACACACACACACACACACGCGCGCGCAAACACACACGGCCAAATACTTAACTGCACGTGCAAAGACAAACAAACACACACGAACCTGAACGAATTGAACAAAAGCCTATCTTGGGATTTGGGTGTGTGCAAAAACATGCGCTCACACAGATATGACCAACTGGCCAAACACTAAATGATACAGGAGGACTCATGTGGACAAGCGCCTACACACATGCACGTTTGTACACACACAATCACACCCCCCACCCTCCCCTCCCCTCCGGCCCCCGTAACCCAGTACGATTTCCTGCAAATTCCAAAGTCAGATCCCGGCTGGAACATTTCAGCCCGCCTGCCACGTCAGTTTGCCTCCACCATCCTCCCTCTCTCATTCTCTTTGCTTTTTCGCAAAAGGCAACCGACACGAAAATGCACCATTTCCAGTTGGTGTTTGGACACACTGAGGCTACTGGACTGGGGTTCGTCTTTAGCAGTGGTTTGTAGTGGTATCTTTTAGGGGACTTTTTTATATTTCGCTGGAAGAATGGATATGACTGAGGCCTTAGGAAAAAGAAGTGGTAAGTAAAGCAAATACAATGCTATCTGCACTTACAGCCACGTAGTTAAATTTGTCTTTTAAATACAGTCTAAAATCAAACATTCAGTTAAATTAGATCATTTGATTTTAGATAAACTTTCATCAGTGCACTGACATGTCCCTTACACTGGGAGATACTCTCCCAGACCTTGAATGCAACATTTGAAATGGCCTCTATTATAAATAAACTGTAGAACAGAGTTTGCTGAGTGTGCACATACTGTAGTTATTTAGTCAAGAGGGAATGTAATCTAACTGTGTCTGGATTTATTTGCTTCAATCCGTTGAAAGCATAAAGGTTAGATTTTTCATGTTAAGCTCTATCTGAATTAATACAAATTTAGTAAGATAAAAAGTATTGTGACGTTTCAGCAGTGTGGGTCCTAATGTATCGGCTATTTTGTTGTACGTGGCTCTTTTCTTGTGTGGCAGTTGTTTCACTGTGGTAATGTTTGCTCTCTGTGCCCTCTGTCCTACTGTCCTAGGGTAGCAATGTGCAGCCGCAATGACCTCGGGGTCCTTCCTCCAATCAGAGTCCTCCTCACCCCCCCGCCTGCCCAGTGTTCAGACTACCTGTTCATCAGGCTAGAGCTGAACAGTAGTCTGCACATTGGTTAGGCTGGGCTGGGACGCACACACCTACAGCCACCGCGGGTGATGACACAACTTGGGATAGTTTATCCCATCATTTTAATCTTAATGCATTCCTGTAGTGCTGTGTCATCTTATCTCCGCCAGCCAGCCGTATCCCCAGTGTCCCGTAACACACAGCATGGGAACAAAAACTCCTCTCACCTCCTCATCTTTGTACCAGGACAGGGACTCCGCAGTCAGGACAAACCAGTACTCCTTAGAGCCTCCCTTCATGATGCTGATGTTGATGGTTAGCCAGCCTTTCCTGATCACCTGCACAGCGAGGAGAAGATGTGGAAGACAGAGAGAAGGGTGGTAGGGAGAGAGGGGTACCAGGAGGACGGAGGGGAAAAACTTTGTCAATAAGGCATTTGCACCGGTGACATGAGGGCCCCCATAAGTGTGACTGGGATGTGACTGACACTAATAAAACCTTACCTGCTTACCTGTCAGGTCTGTAAATCTGGTTGTCCTTTACCTTTTTATCTTTATTGTCAACATGTTTGTGTCAAGTATTGATTGAATGTGAAACTTCTTACGTAAACAGCATGGAGTGACCAAAGGACAGTACTGTGTGTGATGTGGCTAAATGTATACAAAAGCATCAAATGGTTTAGTTGAAAATACTGAAATGGGATGTAGTCCTTGTCCTTTTTCACTCGAAAAAGCAAATAAACCTTAAACCAGCACACAGGACCAGGTGGTGTCCAGACTGTGATAGCCCCCAACACATAAGACAAAGCTCGACGGTGGTATATTAGTATCAGTGGGTCAGTAAAATATACACGTGGTTATAAATCAAAGCAGAGTTAGGTGGGTTAACTTGCTTCGGATATTCAACTGTTTAAGTAAAAGAAAGGGTCAAGTGAGTGTAAAAGACAAGAGAGTAAAGGGGGCGAAGAGAACTGCGATGGCTAGCTAGCTGATCTACCAGAGTTCATAGAGGGACAGTAACCTAAACAGCAAAGTAAAATATCTAAAGTGGAGAGATGGAGAGGGAGGAAATGCATCAGACAGAGAGGCCGAGCTGAGTGAATCACTCTGAGGGAAATAAGCTGTGCATTTAGGTGGAGACCTCTTAGCTGCTATGTCTCTCCATTTTTTTAGACCCCTATGCATTTTAAGCACAATGGGGGAAACTATCTGTAAAGAAATTGTGCTCTTGTGCTAAGTAAAGCCAAGAGAACGGGCCCATTTCAAAGTATGCTTTAGACCTCTCTTCTGCACTCCCTCTCCATCCAGCAGGGGACTGGGGTGAGTTATGAGGGGGGAAAAAGGGTTCATCAGTTCAAGAGCGCCAACATAAACATGAGCAAGGAGGCAATCACATAGAAGCTACACTTATAGTTTGCCTTGGCGAGGAAATAAACTTCTCAGAAACATAAAGTTTTAAATCCCCTATATAAAAGTTAGTTGGAAGTTGAAATTAAGAAAGAGGACACGGTGAGATGTGAGGGTGTCACAGACGAGATGCTTTTGTTTCTAAACCATATGCTTGTGGCGGACAACTGTCAAGAAATGTTCCGTACATTTCTGTAAATGTAAAGTAAGTGTTGCAAAGGGTTAATTAAAGATGTATGATTGAAAGTGACATTAACTCCATGGATTCAAATGGAAACAAATAAACTGATTAGGATGAAACATGCCAAATTGAATTTGTCAGTAAGTAATGAGAATAAAGAGATCCTAACAAGGAATTTTGATTACATCACTGGAATACATCCCAAAGAGATCAGTCACCACACAAAATAACAGACAACTCTGATCAGCTCTAAATTCAGAAATAACAGAGACTTGATGGAGTTTTGGATATGAATGTACTTTCAGAAAGTGTGTTAACATGCTCTTAATTTATAAAAGAATCACTCAAGATGATTCCAAAGAAACTGATCCAAACATTACTGTGTTACTGATTTGATCGCTCCCCACTCCCTCCCTCCCAGTTTTGTCCCCAGTGACGTTTAGGATGATTCTCACAAGGCAAACTTTTGAGTCACCGTGCTCGAGGCAGCAGCAGAGGTATAAACCCACAGACATGGGAACTGACGCCATCCACGGTCACTGGTGGAAGATCTCCCACTCTTTCTGGTCCTTAATAGAGAACGCAGCCTCTTTTGTGGGCGTTAAACAACTCATATCTCGTTTGAATTATTCAGTGGACAAAAAGTAAAATGTTAGTAGCAATGTGCAATTAAAGACAATTACTGTCTTTCTGTCAAAGAGCAAACCTGCCGTGAGTTAAGCGCTAAGTCAGTTCCAAATTACTGGTAACTGTGTGCTAAGGCTAGAATTTGAACTGAGATCAATTTGATCGGTCTGGAGACTCTACCTTCTCCTCGAGGCCCTCTCCCAGTCCGCCAAGCTGCAGAGGGGTAGAACAACTTATTATGGTGAGGTATCCACTCCTGTGTTTGCAGGACACAGCTTATCCTGTTCTGTCTTTTTCCACCCTAACCATATTGGCTGACCTGTGTGTGATGGCTTCAGTCCTTCTGCATGGCCTACCCCTGCTGCCCCCTGGCAGGGTGCGGTTTAAATCTTTGGGGTACTTACCAGAATCTCACCCTGCAGGAAGGGGGAGGGGGAATTAAAGCAAAGGGGGGGCAGTGTAAAATCAAAGCCAAAAGAAATGAGAATGCAAGCAAGCAAGCAAAGATGAGGGACAGATGAGAGAAAGGAGGAGGGGAGAGAAGAGGAGTCAAGGAGCGAGAGGAAGTAGAGAATGAAAATCCAAGAGAAGGTTGAAAAGGGAGGAAACAGAGAGCAATAATTCATGAGACAAGAAGAGTAAGACAGATGAAGAGAGACAGAGAGAGAGAGAGAGAGAGAGAGAGAGAGAGAGAGAGAGAGAGAAAGAGCAAGAGAGTTACATGCAATTAGAATTACTTTCAAGTATACCACAATTTGGTTATGTCATATTTGTTGCTCAGTTGAGAGGTGCGAGGTCCATGCACATTCTGAATTCAATACAAGAGATGCTTGTGTGAGTTAATGGGGGAAGGCAACAAAACATCCATCAGAATTCTGTGATTAATTGTTTGCTGTGCTGTAGAACGACATGCCTGGGTCACATGCAAACAGCAATTAATAATAGCCATGGAAACAAATTCGTTTCAGAGAAGCAGGGAAGCGGAGTCTTCTTTTGAGTTCATTAAGGCAACTCTCCCCTCACTGAAACTGCGCTCTCTAATGCTGATTAGCAGGGCTGTTATAATCATGTTTCAGCATCTTACAAACACAGAGTGAGCTTCAACAATTGAAGCTAAATATCACGCTAATGAAAACAAAAAAAGCAGGTTCCAGTTTTAAAACATTGCGACAAAGCGAGATCAAAATTAGGATTAGAAAACAACGGGACTGGGTACAGTCAGTAGTTATAATCATGTACAGGGGCGGTATCGTTAACAGTTAGATAGGTCAGGGTGGATTAATGGCTTTGGGCTAAATCATTGCTGGAGTGAGATATATTCACATGGTTGACTAATAGGCTGGTAATGGGAGGCATCAGTCAAGGGTGATTAAATCTGGGATTGGTGAAAAGGCCAGAGCTGAGTGATGAAACGTACCTGGTTGGGTATGGCCCTCTTCTTGTTCGCAGCTGTGTTCCTCTGCTGGGCACTGTCATTACACAAAGACGGACAGGAGAAGACAATAAATACTGATGACACCGCACCAAACACAACTTGTTGAAAATAATCACATTAAATATTCATGTGCCACTTCTACTCCAACAATATTCTATTTATTTACAATAATATCCAAGTATCTGATTCTATTGTGACAAATTTACCACTACACACATACATCAGGGTTCCCACACATTTGCAGGGACAAAATTTGAAAACCTTTCCATGACTTTTTAAAGGATGCATAATGAAATTTCCATGACTATTCACAATGTATAAAACAAGCATTGCTCCATCCCTAAAACGTGGGAATATTTAGAAGTAGTAATGGGGCACAGCACAGGTATGGAAACTTGGGGTTTATGAACATGTTAAATAACACTATCAGATTTAACCTCTATTCAAATAATTCAGGGTTCCCGCACATTTTTACCGATGAATTTTCAAAAATTTTCCATAATATTTATCTAATTTCCATGACTGTATTTAACTAGTTTCAAATGGGCACTTCCCAGGTATTTGCAAATAAGCAAACTGCTAGCACTTGCTAACACTACTCGCTTATTAGACATTTCAGCTGCCCACTACCTGCACCTACCAACAGATTACAGCAGCACATACTGGTATTTCATATAACATCAAGGCCGCTCCCTTTTTGAGGGCTAGCAAATCTAAGATCCTGCAGCTGTCAATGACGGTGCCCCAGATTCAAAGTCCAAAAACACATAATTGAAACCACAAAATATCTCCAAACTGCTCATCCGTAGTGATCCACGTGTCCTGAAGCTCCGATATAAAAAGTTGTTTGGAAAAACGTCATTTGAACTCTGTTTTTAGCCTCATTGTAGCCTGTAGCTTTAACTGCTTCTTACTAATTTTACAACATTTCCAGGAATTTCATGACACTGGGAACCCTAATAATTTCTCCTAGCTGGCATACATGGAGTAAGAGACAGGACGTAAGGAGAAAAATGAACACACGTACATGATGGTCAACAAAACTGCTGTCACACATCTGCACATACTAGAACCACATTATATCAATAGCTAACCTACAGAAAATAAAATTGCCGTGATGTCACATTATGTGGAATATTATCCATGGAAGAATACTCCCTAATTCCATGACTGTCCCAATCCTGGAAAATGACACTGTGAAATTATGTGACTTTTCCAGGGCTTCCATGAGCATGAGAACCCTGATACATGAATGTGGAGGAAATGGAGGGTCTAACTGTCTCTCTCTCTCTCTCTCTCTCTCTCTCTCTCTCTCACACACACACACACACACACACACACACTGTACACACAACCCTACATACTTTCTGCAAGCCCACCTGTTGTTGCCGTACCCTGGGGTGCTACCATCATCCAGCCTTCTGTAGTCAAGACTGAAAGTGATGTCATGAGAACCGTTAAACAGCCCTGGCTGACCTACTGACACATTACAGCAATCCACTTCGCCATGCAGAGGCTAGGTATAAACCCTCGCACACGCATACACACACGGGGACTTGCTTTGTTACTCGGTCAACGGCACAACCCACACAGAGGAGGGGAGCTCAACTCAACTACATGCTACTGAGACGGTTCCACTAGGGACTACGTGATTTCAACCATGAACTGTAAACTGCTTAGATATACCACAAAAAAGTGAGTGCTTTGCAGTGTGCAAATGACTTTCCAGTGCACAACGGCAGCTACAAGCAGATGCAGTAAAACATCACCACTGCTCTGTCCGCTGGTACAATAAGCATTCTTTATAGTGACAGTCAAACAGCCTGCAGCAGACAGGAAGTTTATCTGTCAAGCAATCAAACAAGCTTGATTGACTTTGTTTAGAGGGGAAGTGGTGTTGTTGCATGCAGGGGGAAGAGGTAGGCGACTAATGTGGCCTTGAATGTTGCGAAATGTTGCATGTGTCTCCCACCGCAGGGAGACACATGCTCTGATGTGGCTGGATCACTAATTGGCATGCTACATCACACACTGATGCACCGCAGCTTACAAACATGTGGCTAATTATAAGCATCACTTTGATTCAGTAGCAGTGGTATGGTGATGATTCTGTTAAGTTCCTGTAATGGCAGCTGGGTTGCACATGTACTGGCAGCTGACAGGTCAAGGATTACGGGTCTTTTCCTTTGTGAGTCACAAGAGCACCTCAGACGATGGGCAGCATGTAGTTAATCAGGATCATGATGACTGTGCTGAGACTGGGTTCATGACACTGTAAGTTGGGCTAAAAAAAAAAAAAAAAAGGTGGAGGAAGGAGGTGGGAGGAGGGAGGGGTACATACTTAGCAAAGCCTATGAAGTCCTCATGATTGGTGTTGATGTAGGACAGCTCAATGTCAATCAGCAGCAGAACCTTGATTAGAAGCAGAAAATCGTGATTAGGATGGAGACGTCTCAATTAAACACCACTTGCAGGAGGCACAAAGGAGAAAGTGCCACGTCTCACTTCTGATACTTCACACTTGAACAAAAACAACCCTGAGAGTGAGATAACATCTAGAGCTCCGTTTCCACATGGCGACACCAATATAGTCTGTCAGATTGATATTATCAATAATGCAAATTGCAGATGAGGTGGAGTATATGATTTACTCAAAAGTTTCACCGCAATTCAACCTGCCACACCTCAAGCTCTCATTACTCTTGTTTTTTATGCAGTTAATGTGGTTTGCATGTTTCTCCACTCTGGAAACAACACTTAACAGCCACTGACAGACAACAGTGGAGTCTCATTAATTCCTTTTCTTGCGATGTCTTGAAATCTTGAGCAATCTTTGATTTCAGTTTGGGCAAACTGCTGCGCAGTCATATAATCTATCACAGGATTTTTGCTGCGTTGATTTAAGGAAAGTGGTGCTAATGGAGGAAACGCTGACAAACACTGTCAACTCAAACCTGGACCAAAGAGAATAAATGACACGATAACAGATTTTCCATCATGATAAAGAATAGCGCTTTGCTGTAATTTATCGACAATTACATATAAGCTAAACAAGAAGTTGGAAAATATGTTTGTTGCACACATGGCTGCCTAATCATTTTTTCTTTAATTTAAGCAGATATGAATCTAACCAAAATGACTTGCTTTAATTCTGACTCATTTGATCAAACTATTTCTGGAAAATGACCTGCAGAATTAAGCCTTCATTATAACTTCTAGGAAAAACTCTTTTTTTTAAAGAGCAGTAAGTCTTTTGCATTTAAGGCTTTGATTAAGTTTGCAAATCTTCATGGGGTTTTAAAGTTGATAGAAAGCCTAGAACGATGCATTCAAACTAAAGCTGATGCAGGATAATTCAACAAAGTCTATCAAATAATCTATTTTACAGCCAATAATACAGTATGCAACTGCTGCCTAATTTGTGTCCTATGCACCCAACTGCAACTGGGCTAAAGGGACTACCAACGTAAACACACTAGAAGGAAGACATTTCGTATTTTGCTTTTGCTCTGCTAACAAGCTAGCATGTCGGGCCTTATGAGTTTTTTATTCTATATGGTTACTTCCATTTGACAAATGCTGAAACTAATGATGCTTTAAAGGGTCATACAATGCACTTTTTTGTGTCCTTATGCTGCAGCTGGAGGATTGGCAGATGCAGAGACCGACAATGCCACGTGACAAAATGCTAACAGTGAGTGTCAAAATAATACTTCACCCGCAAAATGACCAGTCGTATATCAATTACTCACAGAGTTCCTTTGAATTCGTGAGGAAAACTTTTTTCTCAAATGCCTCCACAGTGAATGAATAATCCAAAAAGGGTGAACATGCCTTGTGGAGGAAGTCATTGGCGTCCACGTTTTAACAACAGCAAAACTATGTCAAACTATCTGTCTACAAAAACTTCCACAACTCCTCCAGCATAATCCAAATCTCATTTATTCAGTCGTATGCTCAGTGCTTCACTAACACATGCATTTACGCTTAAAACATTACAATAAAAAACACTTCCAACTAGTAGCGCCCCCCTAAGTGTGCCTTAGCATGTATGTGGATGCATATAAGCTCCACTTGGGAAGAGTTCAAACGCACCAGCATGCCAACACCCAGACTGTTTGCTCTGACGTGTTTTAAATTGTAATGGTTTAGCGAAGCTTGGATCATACTGCAGGTGGTGTGTCAGAGTTTGTACAATGATGTTTTTTTGCTGTTGTTAAATGTGGTCTCCGTTAACTTCAATTCATGACGAGTGTTCAGCATTTTTTACTTGGTGAATTCAAGATAACGTGGGCTGAGTAAGGAAAGCAAAATGCCAACCTTATGTTATATTACATCTTGTCGCATTTCTCTTCCCCCATTAGTACAATAACTTGGGTGGTGCCACTTCATCCCACCAGCGTCTCAACACAGTACTGGAGGGGGCTAAATATGAATTGTAGATTGCAGCTCTTACTGTATTTTTCACTGCATATGAAAAAGGTAAACATCAAAGGCGGACTTGAGTGCACTTGGCGTGCTCGAGAACCACGAGTCTATTTAATCAACATCCTAGCAACTCACCTGGTCCTTAGTCTTCCCTTCTCTTTCTCGGACGTGGGTGGTTACAATCCTCTCCGTCTCCTCTCTCAGCCTGGGGTAGGAGTTTAGCTGAAAGGCAACACAACACACGACTGCAGCGATGAACGGAGACACACACAAACACACACATGCACACACTTACATGTGAGCTCGAGCTTAGGAAGACTTACCAATAAGTATCAGAGAGAAACAGGAGTGAGAAGTGAAAATGAGTAGAGAACAAAGAAAAGGGAAAGAGAGTCAAGTGGCATTTCAGTCTCACACATATCCAAACAACCACAAACCAACACACACATATAAGACTTTAAGACTTTAAATACACAGTGACTGTCTGTTCTAAAAGGTGATAAGATGTTTACTATCAGCCAGGGACGACTTAATTAGAATGAATGCTGTTTTGCTATCATGCTTTAATCATGCTTTTTTCCAGATATCAAAAATCCAACTTTTTATATTTTAAACAAACAGAGCAATGTCCAAATTTGTCATCTCTAGCTGATGGTAGAGTTGGGATAGTATTAATATTAGTGAAGACTGGATGAGAGGGGAAAGTGACAGAATGAGGTGAGGCAGAGGTGAAGCTCAGAGACAGGATGGCTGGTTGACGCTGTGCAGCGCCTTCCTCTGTCCACAAGATGGCAGTGGAGCACCGTTGCTATGGAAACGCTCCATTCAAGCTGCCACTGCACCCACAGAGCCCACAGGCTATTAGTATCACCCCCCCCCCCCACACACACACACACACATCACTCCCTTTCCATCCGGTTCAGCAGATAGTGTAATATCAGTCTGCCATGTGGGTCAGTGAAGGAGTGCAGCCGGGGCTCTGCGCTGCACAGACTGACGAAGCGGGGTCTTGGGCAGAGAGGGAGAGGAGGGAGGAAGCAATGCGGAGGTGGGGGAAAAAACTCTTTAATGAGCTGATGCTGAGGTCAAACAGCATGTGGGAGATGGCTGATGGAAATTTTAAGTTGTGCTTAAAATTTCAGACGTGGTTTGCAAGTCAATGCTCGGTCTGAATGACATGGAGATTTCCAGAGGTGGGAGGAGAGTAGGAATGTCACGATACTAGAAATGTAATTGATACCAATACCAGTGAAATTCCACAATTCTTGATACCCAATTTGATACCACGATAAAAAACAAAACAATATATTGCACGTCCTTCAACTCCTCCTTTATTATGAACAATTAAATTTCAATGCTATTAATAATCCCGCCTTGAACACAAAGTACTTGTCTAGAGTTCAGCATTTGTTCACGTAAGGGTTCTGACACTTCAAGCCGTCGGTCAGCTGTTGGTCAACGTCAGGCCACAGGTGAGCATCTGTGGCCTTAGTTTTTGCATTGTCTTCTGCATGGTCAGCACTAATCATCCCATGTCAGCTTTTTTCCTGCCGAATCAACATGTGGAATGGTTGTCGGAGGCAGCGGTGCACATCAATGTATGAGATCACTCTGACTAGCAGCTAAACTCGGTGCACGAGAAGAGAAACAGAAGTGAGGAAAGCAAACAAACGGCTAAAATCAAGAGAGTGAGATCAAAACAAACTTGTCATATTAGGTAAAATAATTTTTTGGCTGTTGAGCTCTTTAGATTAAACGCTTCAGAATTGTTTGTGTTATTGTTCACTAGTGCACAGTAAATATTCTTTGCCCTTTCAACACTGGGTTTTATTGTTAATGTGCTAGCTGGCTAACTAGCATCTTGAATCCCTCTAGTCTTTCGGTTTCCCTTTGTTAATCATGAATACAGACTACCACCGCCTGCTGGTATGAAGTTATTTCCTCTCACTCTGACACAGAACATACATGCTATTTGGCCATTGGCTATAGTCTTTGCCGTAAGTTCAGGTGCAACTTTTTGGCCAAGACACAGGCGATATAAGGCAACAGATCAGTCTGCCTTGACGCCACTAGTTCTTTCATGTCAGTTTGGTGTTGTCTGGGCTGATTTTACGATGTGACTGGTATTTGTGGTAGGCTAGTTGTCCCACCCCTCCACCACTGTGAGAGGATGGCTGGGTAATGTAGCGCTGTTCCCAAAGCGGAACATTTTTAAACTTTCCGTGAACAGAAAAAAAATGTCAAGTGATTAGCATTCAGCGCAGAAGAGACTCCCAGCGCCTCAACACGCTGCTGGCATTTGTAGCATAGTGGAAATACATGGCGCTCCCATTGCAAAGAATTAATTCAATTCCCTGGCCTCTGGGCGAACTGCTGTTGCGGCAGCAACACTTGTTGGCATCTTCCACGTGTTGTTGTTCTTCATGCTGGTAGGCATTCTTCCTCCTCCTTTGACATTAATGTCAGATTAGAGCACTTGTGGGCGTATATGCTGCCCTGACGGATAGAATAGCATCCCCAGTACCCATGGTACTGGTGGAAAAGTACCGTCACGTTTTCAGACTTTTGGCATTGACTTGTTAACAAAGTATTGGTGCTCGTGACATCCCTAAAGGAGAGTAGAGATGGGACAACACACACATTTGAAGCAGTGGGCATGGATGGCGAGGATGGGGATGGGTCTGATTTCACTGGGGTGCCCATTTTACTGGGATGACAGAAATTGACATTTACAGAGAAAAAGAATCCCTTCTCTTTTCATGCCATCATCCCAGCAGGTGTGTCCCCGGTTACCTTGGCAGCACACTTCATGACGAGTGCGGTGAGCTCAGACACCACAAGGTCCACACATTTGAGGCTTGGCTCTTTGAGTTTGAGAATCTGCTTTTTGACTATCGCCTCAAAAGCCAGGTCAGGGGTGAAGAGCCCCGTTCTGAAAGGTCATGGGGTCAGATTGCATGTTGTTGTTGTGGTGGTAGAGAAGGAGAGAAAGGGACAGGCAGAAATAAAGGAAAGAGAATAAAAGAGGACAGCCAGGAAAGAGAGGAAATAAAAAGAGAAAAAGTCTTTGTTCAGTTAGTCATTTCTAGTTGTTGACAGAAAAAAATCAAGCTGTGGAGACGGACAAGCAACAGGTCTTTCACATCCTCTTTCCTGACAAACCAGCTCCTGTAAAACTAGGTCAATGTGGTAGAGATGGGCATGTCACCTCTAACCCAAGGCCAAATCACAGCTGAGGACCACCCCATGAGTTGCTGGCTATGTGTACTGAGCTATGAGACCTGCAGCTTGTCCAGGAGAGACCAGAGATGCTCAGATAGGCTGAGTCCCTGAAACATCTCAGATCCACGACGACACGTCACCCGTCACAACACTCCACAACACGACAGCGCTGCCTGCACACAGGGCTAATCGGGGCGGGCTGGGCTGAGGGCAAACCACACAGAAAGTTCCTTTTTTTTCAGTACAAGAACTGAACTGATCTTTTTCCATATATCATAGGAAGCTGTTGGCTGAACGTTCTGCGTCAGCGTACCCTCTGCCACCCCCATGGCTGCCCCTGCCCTATGTCTCGGCTGGGTCGAGGAGATGCTGGACACCTGCAGTACCTTGTTGGTGCACTGCCTGACTGTGTTGATGAGCTCCTGAATGACCAGATCGATACATTTGAGACAGGGCGTTTTCAGCTTAACGATCTGCTTTTTCACGATGGCCTCAAACGCCAGGTCTGGAGTGAACAGCCCCGTTCTGAGGATGCACAAAGAGACAGAGGCACAGCGGCAGACAGATGGGACAGTTAACGGACATGTAAGACCAACAAAACAAATGAATAGACAGATGATCAGGTGAACAAAAAGGTGACTGAAGAGGTTCTGGACAAAGAGAAGGAATCGGTATATGAACATACGGACAGCCACAACAGAGGGAGAAAGGATAAAGCGCCAAAGAGGGCAAGATTTAAATGTAATAAAGCACACAAATGAGACATTGCAAAGAGGAGATTATCAGTGAAGAACACATGAGGACATTTGTGCAGTGGACTGGATACATGTAACACAAAACCTCATAATAATTGTGTGCCTCAGCAGACAGAAACAGAGAAGGAGTGGGTGGTGTTGCAGTGGGGAGATAAGGGGATTGAAACAACACTGAAGGAATAGTAGAATAGAGGAAAAACATTTCACACAAAACAGAAACACCTTTTCTCTGAATTGGTATTGTTAGTCTGTGATCACAAGGCTTGATTATATAAACATGAATTTTAGTAGAATAACAGCTTTTATGAAGGGAGAAAAGTGAAGCACGGTGCCACAGCAGTATTTGATGTTAAAACAGAATACAAGCGTTTGAGCTCTGTGGGCGGCTTCTTTGAAAGGTTTTTGGTTTTCGCTCCACTTGCCTGACACCATGGACGTTCTTGATTGCGTGACTGATTTCTCGCCTTAGCTCTTTCTCGTCAAAAACAATCTGGGAGACAGAGGGAGAAGATGCAAATGACACTTTAACAAATCGTGAAATACTTTCATCTTTGTAAAGACTTAATCCCCAACATACAGGGCTGGGCAATCACATTGTAATTATAATTATCCTCAATAGAAATAGAACAAATCAATCCGCTCATACACTGGGAGAGGGGGGTGCTAATGCATCTAAATGGAATACTTCACCCACTAAATAACCATTTGTAAATCAGTCAGTCATGCTGTGTTAACCTTGAATTCATGAGGAAGACTTTGTTTTTCTGGCATGCCTACATGGTAAACGGCAAACATATTGATATTTTGATTGAATAGTGATCCCTTTAAAAACCGCAAAGATATATCAAAACATTCGTTTACAAACTCTGACACAACTCCTGCAGTGTATTCCAAGTCCAAGTACTTCCCAAACACATGCATTTTCATTCAAAAAAACCTTAGTACTGCAGTCTAGCTTTGAAGACAGCATCGGTATGTTTCACTTTTAGTTCAGTTTAAATGGTATGTCATAGTAAATTCAATATATCACAGCATGACTAATGGATAAACAAATGATCATCAGGTAAAGTATTCCATTCAAGTCTAGTTGCCAACCGCCATCACACAGAAGAAGATCACCAGCCACCAAGCTCATGTGTACGTCAATGTTATGACGTTACAACGTTCAACATGCACATAAAGTTATTTTTAGTATAACTGTTGACCTACATACAGTAGCTGTATTGGCAGTTGACTCCTTTAATGGTATGTTAGTGTTATGTAAGCTATTGTACTTGTGGCTATTGACTTAGAAGAAATAACAAAGGGAGAATAAACATCACTAAACGTCATGTGAAGATAAGTTCGTCTTGAGTCACACCAGATGTTAAGTTTTAAACTTGTACAGAAAATACTGACTACAGTTGAGATTTTTCCTTCTGTCTCTTTATTTTGTTTACACTGTCAGCTAAATCCATTATGTCTATAAAGGTGTGACATACTGCTGACAAGAACTGTTTTCTTTGTCTATTTGTTGTCTTATGTGTTGACATTGCTTTATATACAATCATTTTGAATCTACCTCAGATTTGTGAAATGTTCTGCTGTTTGGCGTTTGTCATGTTCTGACAATTAAGTCTAAACCATTAACCATGTGTTTCTTCAACTTTTACTCAGAAGCAAAAATCAGCCTTTAAACTTGAAAGAAATAATGCTTTGGAATGTTATTACAGTTTTGGCCATATCGCCCAGCCCTACCAACATATCAAGCCTCTTCATGGCACACTAACCTTGACCAGCTCAAAGGGGAAGCGTTCATGGAAGATGCGGTTGATCTTTGCACCACCCGATAGCTCATTGGTGTCCACCTGGTCCCCGGAGCCTTCAATGCACTTTTCAAAGTCCACACCAAACTGCTGCACCATCCTGATTAGGGTCAAGCACAAAGGAGATGTGACTGGTGTTAGTGCCTTCCTGGAGGTCCAGTGCAAAGAATTACTGTTGAAAGGAATCTTTGCTGATTTTCAACCAGCTCTGTGACGTCACAGTGTGGGCAGCGTGGTGGGACACAGAGCTGGCTGTAAGTTGACAAAGTTTCCCTATAGTCATAGCTTGCAAATATCTACTCTCAGGCGCAGTAGCCCTGTGCAGTGGGGATCCTATATGGCTGCCACAGGTTACATCATTTCCAACATATCAGCTGTAAATAATACAAGTATGCAATATTCAGATGCACTCACTGCAACAAGGCCTTGGTCTTGCGTGTTGGATCATCTGGACGGAAGTTCTTGTACTCCTCCACCTCCTTCTCCAGAGAGAGGAGCTGACTCTGCAGCTTACTGCGCAGACCAGGCAGAGTATCCCTGATGTGGTTGGTCAATTGCTGGAGACAGACAGACGCAGTGCTGCTGTTTTAGAGAATGAACGGCACAGTAGGGAGGGAATTATAGTTCACAATTTAAAAAAAAAAAAAAAAAAAAAAAAATGACAGCAGACCTGGTTGAGTGTCTTTTGTAGATGTGGTGTGCCCATACGCTCTGCTATATGTCTGTAGGCAGGGTGGGACAGGAAGAACTTCCTCTCTGCAGCCAGAGCAGCACGAATGTCTTTCTTCCCATCTATGTCCTTCTGACTGCGGTTCACTACACCGATGTAGCCTGCACAGAGCAGAAAAAAAAGAAAAAAAAAAGAAAAAAAAAGTCACTCTAGTGTCAAAAATAAAGTCTGCAGATGTGTCTTTGTGTGTATGTGTGTGTAATCCTCACCTCTACGCAGTGGCAGGAGTTTATTTTCTAGGATGTCCTTTGCATCTGTCCCTTCATCCATCAGGTCCAGTTTTGTTATAACACCAATGGTACGCAGACCTGCACAAAATTACAAGTGTAACTACATTAATTCAAACTGACTTATTACCTCTTATCTCATTACCTTCTTGGAAAGAACTGATGCACAGAATAAATCTCTCAGTGTATTTAGCCTTTTTATAGCAGAGTTCTGTTTAATAAAGGGCTGAAAAGATTTGCCTGTGACAGAAATACTGACGAAATAGAGGTAATGGATATCATGAGCCCTTTTCAGATCGCACTATAGGGCCGCTACAGAGTCTCTTGTTTATGCCTCCTTTGCATTTTTTCATAGAATCAAACAAGGGCAGCATCATGCTTCTCCAGTGTGTGGCTTTGCAGAACCGAGAGAGGTGTGATGGGCGTGACATGTAACACAAGAGCATCAGCCTCTAGTGTGACATAAAACATATGTGTCTACAGAGCTTTCTAAACAACACCAATGGCATTAACGTGTCAATAACAATCATTTACCGTCCTGTTATATGGCAGATGATCTTGTCCTGTGCTTGGAGGGTAAGGAGCTCCAGAATCTCATTGTTCTCCCAATTTGCAGACATTTACGGCCACTGTTCTTCTTTAAATCTCCCACAGTAGGTTGCACACATAACACATCATCTGAAAGTTTCACCCTTGCCGCTCAAGATGCCATCTTGCAGGCTGTCCTTTTTATACAGACACTTTTCTGCGCTGTGACTTCCTCCTGTGGTGGCTTTAAAGGCGAGACCACTCTGCTGCCCCTTTCTGTGATTGTATGTTATATACAGAACGGCGAGGCGGCATAACAGCGCGATATGCCCGCCACAAACAGCGGAGTGATAGGGACTGAATGTTTCATAGTAGAGAAGAACCTATTGCAATTCTCACAGCCAATTCTGATATGTTATTTATTAAAAATCAGACCTGAAAATTCAAATTTTGTCTGATTCCAATTTCTGTCTTTCAAAGAACTATAATTGACAGCATACACAGTCATATTTGAAACTTTTCTTTAAAGCCACTGGAAACTTGGCTAGTAAAAAATGCTTATATGATATCAAAGATGAGTGTTTAATTAAGCATCCACAAAAATCTTGGACACAATAAATGTTAGCAGGGATGCACGATAACTTTTCTTTTAAACCGATACCGATAACTTTCAGCTCCTAAAGGCCGATACCGATAACTGATAACACACACACACATATACAGTGTATATATAGTTTTGACCCTTTAAATGAAGAGATATTTATTTTTTCCATTGAAAAACTATTGGCAAGCATCTCAAACATTTTCGAAAAGATATCAAACAAAAAAACTATTTGATATCTCAAATGAACATCAATTTAAATTAGGTGCATTACTTACTGATATAAAAATAAAGGCCCCTTGAACTGATGCAAATACATGCATCGGGATTACAAACTGAAAAAGTTCATTCCAGAAGTTCAAAAAAATAAATATATATAGAAAATGATTGCACTGAACAAGTTAGACTTGTCTATGTAAACAAACTGAAAAAGTGCATTCCATAGTAACAAAAAAAAAATAAGTTTAAAGAATTTTGGCTTATGGTTCCATTCAAATGAATACCTTTTCACTAAGGTAAATGAGGTTCAGTTGTTCTTTTATCTCATATTAGAAGAGAGAGAGAGAGAGAGAGAGAGAGCGAGAGCGAGAGGGAGGGAGAGAGAGAGCGAGAGAGCGCGCGTCTGTGTGTGTGCGTGAGATAGTGTTGTCACGGTTCCAAAATTGGGACCCACGGTACGATACCAGTGACAGTATCACAGTTCTGAGTAGTATCACGATACCACAGCAAAAATGAGGCAGATGTGCCTTTTCTATAATACATCACTGATATTTCAAAGGAATAAATTACTTTTTGACTTATTCATACTTCAAAAACAGCATGAATAAGTGATTAACATAGGGGGGATCAAAATTAAATAAAAAAATAAAATAAAAATCAACCAGCCACCCTCCTCCCCTGACGGTCCCTTCATAAGTAAAGAACAGTCCCTAAAGTGCGGTGAGGTTTGTGGGCCGTTACTGACACAAAGAGTAATGTGAACAGCTCGTTTCTCCTCTGACACGTCACATACCTGTGTGCTGCCACGGCTCGGCTGTTCAGGTACTTCTGGGCAGTCATGACACCAACAAGAGGACATTATTGGACCTGGAGCTGGACTTATCCGTCGCCGGTAAGCCGTTATGTTGCACCGCGGAGCACTATGGCCGCCGTATTTGACAGGAATACGTATTCCTGTCTGTCTCTGTGACCCCCGTTCAACCCACAACTGGCAGGATGCGCCGTTATTGGACGGCGCATGGACACTCACCCTCTTGCAACTGGACTTTGAACTTATCCCACAGCAGTGGTACCTGAGGTACCGTAGTACTACGGTACTCCAACATTATGGTATCATATGTACTGTGGAGTTTTAGTGCCGCGGTCTACCATTGGTACCAGTATACCGTGCAAAGTGTGAGAGATAGTGTGCGCGTCTGTGTGTGTGTGAGAGAGAGAGAGAGTGTGCGCATCTGTGTGTGTGTGTGTGTGCGCGAGAGAGAGAGAGAGAGTGTGCGCGTCTGTGTGAAATTATGACCGACTTAACGAGTTGTTTTCCAACATGAGGGGGTATTCTTGAATTTTCCCAGTCAGAAAGAGTTTTTCTGATTATGCCGACGTCACTTGAATGCAGCATTCACTGCAGGCCATTCAGGTCTCAGTGGGAGCGGGGCACTGCCGTGCTGACAAAATTATATATGTTATCGGGGCTATTCGTCATGTTATCGGACTTATCGGAATGACGTAATAATTTCCTGTTATCGGCCCGATAGTTATCGTGCACCCCTAAATGTTAGAGTTAAAAACAGCTCATTTTGGCTGCTCAAACCATTTCTCAGGACTGGAGGGGTGAGATCAGATCGTGCTTGATTGACAGCTTCCTTTCAGCTATAGTCACAATACCATTTTATTTTCCTTTCAGTCACTAGCATTAAAACATTTTGCTGCCACATTATAAACTGTAAAATCCATCAAATGGTATCTACTTAGTAAGAAAGCTAACTAAACTAACTAACAAACGTGGTTATACCACCAAACTCTGTGTTTTTATTTAATTATACCTCCCAGAATATGGCGCTAATTGCATTAGCATTTTACATTCACCCACTTTTGAGCTTATTATTGACTATCCCTATAGTCCATTAGTTACCCCGACTAATCAGCTAACTAGCAGACTAGTGCAGACCACCTATATTTGTGTTCTTATTGAGTTATACCTTCGTGGACAAAGAAGCTATGGGTTTTAACATCTTCTATTCACTTACACGTACAGGTTAGCATTAGCTTTGCTATGCTATACTTTTGAGCGACTTATCAATTCTGTGATACAGATTTGGGTGTTTTACCTCAGTCTGCTAGTTCCCTTTACACAGCAGCTTTCAAACCATGTGTGTTTTGATCGACACAGGATCTGCTTCATCTGAGGTAACTGGAAATCGCCTGTTTACAGTAACCAGCTGATTGGTGCATCTCTGTTTCATAGGCCTACTCTTTGACTTTTGAATTACTACATGGCTACATGCTTACCCTGTGGGTCCACCTCCTTGGCGATCTTCAGAGCATCCGAGTTGGCCAGGTCAGTGTTGGCAGGGGTGACGGCCAGGATCAGACAGCTCTCCTTGGTGATGAACTGCAACAACATGTCCCTGATCTGGTGCTCGATGTCTACGGGCTGATCTCCGACGGCAACCTTAGTCATTCCCGGTAGGTCGATCAGGGTCAGGTTCAGCACTGAGTCACACAGACACAAATCATAAAAAATGCTTCATCAGCTGAGTTGAAGTAAATAATCAGGCTTCCTGAGTGCAGACTGTATCACAAAACAACTCGACAAATAACGGAACAATAAATCATCAGCACTCAAGTAATGTTTCCATAACCATAATTTTTTGTTTCTCTTGTTTAATTTGACACTTCACTGACTCGATGCTTGATTTGACTGGAAACCCAGGTAGCAAATGTTTGATTAATCACAAGCATTCTCAATGAAAAGTGAAATCACGGCACTGAGGAAACACACAGTGATTCACAGTGCTGTTGATATGCTTGTTTACAAGGTAAGATAAATACAGTCCTGTGTTTCTTGTCCATGTGTCAACTTCATTTTCCTCCCTTAAATAAAGCAAAACATCAACAGACATCTACACCATCAGCCTCAATCTAACATGCTAATGGCTGTCTGCGGTGTCAGAGGAAGCTTTCATCTTGTGTGCGAGACACTTGAGTAGGCAGACCTCTGCTGTCATAAAACTAAGTCTAATTTGTTTACTTTACTCCATAAAAACAGAAACGCCCTCAGAGGTTTTACTGCTTACAAGTGTAACATTTACTGAAAGAAATAAACATGAAAATGTCAAACTTGACGGTGAAATCCCAGCGACAGCTCCCATAAGGAGATGAATAGATGTTTCTGACAGACGTTCAGTGGTGGAGTAAAAAAACATCACAAAAGCCACTTTTTATTTTGATGTTTTACCAAAACCACAGTGGTCCAAACCACAGCTATCTAGTATTTTTCTGATATCTTACAAGTCTCTCTGGAAAACACATTTTGTAAACAGCACAGGGAGAAAAAAAGCTCTGTTTGCATTAGGAGTGAGCAATATGGATAAAGCTTTTATCATAGTATATGTAATATGATATAGCATATCTTGTGATATACATCATTTTGCAGAACTGAGAAATCATTTATGGTTATGGAATAACCAGATGTAAATGTTTGTTGTTTTGGCTTATAAGGCCAATTAAACACCTGACAGATGAAGATACTAACATATTTCATACTAGGGCTGGGCGGTATGACCTAAAATTTATATCACGGTATAAATCGAATCCCTTCACGGTAACGGTATATATCGCGGTATAAATTTAAGTGTAAAAGTTATAATAGAAGTGTTTCTGAATGGGTTTTGTAGTCCCTTAGCAAAGCTAAATTGATAAAAAAAACAACAACAACAAAAGCAAAGATATAATGTATTTTTTAGAGCATTTATTGTGCAGAATGCAGATCTCAAAACTCAAAATTAAAACCCAGTGCTTTATGGTGCAAAATGTCCCCTGGGATCTATATCAAAAGGTAATTTCCTTCTTTTAGCAAAATCCTAAATGACTGAGTTGTGTTTTTTCCACCTGGACCATTTGCTCTGCCATTTCTCCTCTAATCATCACGCTGTAACCTGTGACAGGCTGCTATGATACCACAACTATCACACATTCACATATGGAGTTTTTTGTGGAGCCCCTAGCGTCACATAGGTTTACATTACCAAAGGTTTATGACAAACTCCGAAAACCAACTCCCGTGTGCGCACGGCGAGAGAGGAGAGGGAGAGATGCTGTGCTGCTGCCAGAGGAGACACTGAATGAGTTCCCTCTGAGCGGTAAGTCGCTAAGAGTCTGAGAAGTCCGGGGCTGTTCATAAGACATTAATTCACTCACTCACAAGTTCTCCAGCAACACGTTGCACGTGCTACGCTAAATCACGGACGTGAACCAGCTCCTCTTGCTCCGCTGTCTCTGTGCTCGCAGCCATTTTCACACTGAGGCAGGTGCGATGACGTCATCGACGATAGGACGGTAGAGCGCAAATCTCTACCGTGGGCCAAATTTATATCATTTCTACCGTCTACCGCATATACCGTGCAGCCCTATTTCATACAATCCCATCATTATTCCCATCATTATAATCTCATACAACCAGAGATATTTAAGACCCCCCTTTAGTGAAACTCAAGTTTTTAACCTTGTTACCATGTCCATATGGTTTTTCTGATATGCTACAAGACAATCAGGGCTCTTACAGCTTAAGGCGAGTTAGAAGTAACACTTTTTTGATGCCACTAAAGCAAAATAACACCAACTGACGTCAAGGTTTAGGGAAAATTGTGCCCAAATGTGAACTGTAACACATAACATGTCTTTTTTGGTCAAGTTAAAACGTTTAATGATCTACCACAAGTGCTTTAGAGTGGAACACAGTGAACTAAGGCTGTGCAATTAATCGATTTTTGGTCACAGACGCCTGGAGATGTTATTTTGTCTTCTACGGAAGCCGCGCATGCGCAATACTGCCCCCTCCCCTCCCCTCCTCTCCTCTATTCACTCCACTAGCCAGTCAAGTAGGTGAACTACAGATAATGCGAGGGGCAGGTGATCGCGGAAGACTTCAAAAACAGTGTGCGGAAAACAGACAGAAGAAGAGGTTGGTCTGTGTGTGTGTGTGCATGTGCGTGTGTGTGTGCATGTGCATGTTGGGACCAAACTCCGCTGTGCACGATACAGAGAGCAGAGAATTGTAAATGCGCGACCATGCAGAGACGGAGATTACATACCGTTGCGTAAATAAGTTATCACGTGCGCCGCATAATCGTTTGCATAATGGTGATTTCAATTTTGACCAAAATAATCGTGATTATGATTTTTTCCATAATCGAGCAGCCCTACAGTGAACATGTTATATTATCATTAAAGTATTTATTTGGTTTACCTTGAAAAAAGCTTATTTTATTTGTCATTTAAATGGATGTGGTATATATGTATGAGTGTTGATGGTTCCTCTATCTTGATCTTGTCAAACATTCATTCACTGATATTATCAAAATGGATACTACCAATTTTTTTGAGATTTTATGATGTAACATCAGAAAAAAGTGATTTGTAATTTTCTCCTTCAATTATCTTAGCATTTTTAAGACTCTTGAAAAAACTAATTTAAGACATTTAAATGCCAATTAAGGCTTTATTCTTAGATTAATGAGTTCAGTGCCTGTTAAGGCTTTTTAAGGATTGGTGTGAACCCCTCATAACATGAGCAAAATCAGAAGTCAATGTCATGGCTGAGCATTTCCGCCTTGGAACTACAGTGTACCAGTGACAGCCTCAATACATGGGTTCAGACATTCAAACATCACATATGTGAGGAACCATTCTTCTCAACCTGCAGGGCGGGGCTTTCCGTATCATAAGTATAACTATGGCGAAATGAGGGCCATCAGTGGAGGAGCAAGGTGCAGCTGCAAGTTATGTTTCACTTTCACTTCAACTTATCAGAGCTGGTCGAGAACAAGGTTTATCTAATATTGCCAACACATTATTCGCTGTCTGATAACGTAGTCAAGTCCAAGGCTCCTGTTATCTGTTACTGTTTACAAGCAGAGGTTTGTGTGTCTGATCAGCAGAGTTGAAAGTGAGCAGGTACGCTCGAGCTGCAGGTGAGCGGCCGAGGGCCAGGGCTAATTTGCATATTTATAGAGCCGCGCATACTTAATGAGACTAAGGTGTAGAGTTTCATCTGAGTCTTTTTATGGCACGAAGGGATGTTTTTAATAGAAAAAACTTCTAAATGTTATTTTGATGAACAGAGTTGAGTTTTAAGGGGAACTTGAAGAGGATAGCTGTACTGTAATGTACTTTACATAACACAAAGAGGAACAAGCGTTGACAGTGTGTGTGTTTCGCAATAAGGCTTGTGTCCATTACCGTGTGGGGAGTAGACCCTCAGGTTAATTGGGATGGGAGAGATGCCTTTGTTGGAGCCTGTTATCCTGTCGGTCTCCGACTCAATTTCCGCCCGCACCTCCTCAAAGTCCACAAACTTCTTCCCTTTGCAGTGCAGGAATTCAGCATATTCTATAGACGGGGGACAAAGTGACACACGTAAGGGCGAGGGGAAGGGGAGAGAAAGGGACAGAGAGATAGACAAAGTAAGGAAGAGAGAGAAAAAGAGAATATTGAATTAAAGAGATGAAGGCAGCAAATAGCAGACAGTGTGCTTAGCTTGAGGCACTGTGACGGGGAGGCCATATGCAGGGCAGCGATGAAAGGAGACAGGGATATGACTGTGCACTGGACTGGTACACTCACCTGCTTTATTGTTGACCAGCTGCAAAATGAGAGGTCTACGGGTAACAATGCCTGATCCGCGAGGAAGAAAGTCCCTGGGGGAGAGAGGCAGACAGAAAAGGAAACATAAAAACCAGAATTGTGGGGAGTAGAGAGAATAAAAAGCCGGGAAATCAAAACAGTAGGGGGGCATATTGGGTAAAATAGGGGTGGTTTAGGACAAAGAGAGACAGCGCAAGGGAAAGAGGGAAAGGGACAGAAAGAGCGTTCAATTATTCATTACACTCAATGTCCATTTCCTCGCAGCGTGGCCTCTGGTAAATTGATGGGCATGGGAGAATTTCACGCCTCCAACTTGTGTCACAACAAATCAAATGTGACAAAGTAATTTTCTCTCATCATTAGAGCTTAAGAGATCAATTCATTCACACCCCCCCTCACTGTTATGGGGAAAATCCACCTTAAAATAGAACTCACAGATGTTGTATCGCCAATAATCTACACATCAGTTCACTTTTAATTAATGAATTTGAACAAGTCTCTCCTTATGCTGAACCGAACAGACTGTAATGATGTCATCTCAGGACAAATTATAGAGCTGCTCTACAGTCAGTGAATAACAGAACAAGTCCTACGGCACTATGACGGTGACCATGGTGACCTCACTGGAATACAAATACATATTTTGTCATTCAAATGACACTTTTGATTTATTATCTCAAACAAAACCGAACGGACCACAGACTCAGAGTATGACCACATTAAGATGGTAAAATGTGTTCACATATAGTTGGACTTATGTTAATTTTTGTCAAACCATGTCGGAGATCATAAAATAAGGATTTTGTCAGCGTGGCGCAGCAGCTTCAGGATGACTGCTGATTAACATGTAGCGTTTATAAATGATTAGCTAACTATTTCATACTCGTTATGAAACAGAAAAATGTTGTTATGAGAACAACTACATTGCAAACTCAGCTGAATTAAAACACAGTACAGGTGACCACAGAGAACAGAAGGACACTGAGCAGATGTGTAAGCCTCTCATGATAACTACTTTTGTTGGAAGATATATTGTCCCAGAAATAATTGCTGTAAACGATATGACTGTCATTTTGAGACTATTTTATAACACTGATATAATTATAATATAATGGTTTAATAATGCAAGTAGGGTTGCAACTGTACACCGGTTTCAATGTTAAACATCCATTAAAAATGATTTAAAGTTTCAAAAATAGTAATAAAACATTTGTTCAACCACATTTACTTCACAAGAGTAGCTTTGAATTACTTAGTGAGGCATAATACAAAATTTGGCCCACAAAAACAAAAAGAAGAGATGCATTGTTCAACTAATTGACAAGCTTAGCGAAGCTCTACGAACACTGCAGTTACCATCATGGTTCTGCTGTGTGCTGCATTTGGCTCCAGGGGCTGCTGGACTTACGGAGTGGAGGATAAAGTTGTTTGAGGGTAAAACTACAAACAACGGACTTTTTGACTTGTTAAAGCTAATAACTATCAGGACTGTGCAGCAGCAGGCTACCGGTAAGCTACACTGTGTTGTCTTTAAAGTACTATTTTATTTTTGTTCGAACCCATGCAAACGGGCCGGGCTGGAGAAAAAAAGAAGAGGAAGAAGCGCTACACCTAAGTCTTACAATGGCTGGGGAAACCCTGTCGTTTACTGTGGCATCATGGTGGCTGAAATGCTGGTGACATTCTTAGGTAAACAAACATGTAAATACAACAGGCAACATCGCATTCAGCAAAAATGACCGAGGTCATTTCCATGTGTCGACAACGTTATTATTGTGGCAGGCCTACAGATGTGTAACTAGCTGTATCTTTCTGTCCTCTAACCCTTCCTGTAATCACACATTTCCATGACACAGCTGTTGTCATGACCAAAGTAATTGTGAGGGCTAAATATAAATTCTGTTTTAGGGTGGATGTTCCCTTTGTAGCTGAGATTCTGTAATATGCTGTGTCTTGATTGATGCACTTGTTCCCTGCTGCTCAGTTTATTGCCTATTTAAAGGACAGACAGGGCCCGTGTTTTCAGCTGGCCACTGTAAGCTTTTATGTGAGCCCAGGCTGTGTCAATATCAGATATATCGCCCATGATAACGCCTTCAACACACCAGCCTCGGTCTGGGACTTGACATTGTCTTGCTATGTCTACATTCTCAAACTACAAATTTGCATCATGCTGCTTAATTACACAAGGTAATGCATTGCTCGAAGCATGAAGTGACGGTAAACAAACAAGGGCAAATGCTTTTGGTTAAACACAGTAGATTGTGGAGACACCAACTTGTAGGAAACACTGTGAACGTTCTCACAGTTGGCTCGTTTGTTCCTCTTAAAGTGACAGGGTACCTGAAGAATTTCTAACCACATGATTAAAGTTGCTTAGTCAGCCCTCAGATGAGGCTCCTCCACCCAGTCTTCTGCACTCCCCTCCCATCTCTGAAGGCCCCTCTCCTGCTCTGCAAACACACTACATCTGGTGGTAATCACCAGCCCCAGCCCTGGAACAATCATCGAAAAGCTGAGCATGTCACAAACCCACATTCTCCTTTTCCTCCCTACTGCCAGACCTACACGCCTGAGGGGACGATGGCGGTGCTCAGCCTGCCTGCTGACTTCAGACTGTAAGCAATGTGTCAGGCACAGGACAGGAGAAGAGAGAGGAACTGTAGTCCTGCCGTGAAACAGCGGGGAACATTCTGGATGTTCCTTACATCAGCAAAAATCCAAAGGTCTGTGGTTCAGCACCAGTGCTGTGTCATGCACATAATGTGGAGCATGCAGGCATTTGTTACCACGGTGGACATTATAGAAAGCCCTGGATGAGGAATGGGAGCAAGGGAGGGAGACAAAAAACAAAGCTACTATAAGCTGAGGGGAAGTATATACTAAACAGACTGGACGCGGAGAATGGCGGTAAGATGCTGCTGAGAGGTCACAGCAAGAATGTGTTAATGTGCTGATGCGTCTCTCAGTTAAAGGCGACTCTCACTGTGTTTTTAAGCAGTCAAACACTGTCTCTTTGGCTCAACAAGTGGCCACTGGTCAACGATTCACAGCAATAAAACAAAGCTTCAGTAAAGTCAAGAAAACACAAAGACATCATTTGCTCAAAAATGCTTTTCTGAGAAGACGCAACTTAAGCACAGAACTGCACCGGTCACTCTTCACAGACAGAATTGGATAAACAGCAGTGGCATATTGAACAGAAGCAAGAGGCAAGGGCTTCATTATTGATGTGCTCTAAATGATAGACGAGGCCAAGCAGATTGTGTATCATTTCATGCATTATGAATGGCCAAGCAAAGAGCATCAGTCTGTGAGCCTCCCTCCCTCTGCCATGAGAGAAAGCAAAAGAGAGAGTAGGGCAGGGAGGGATCGGGATCGGCCAACTCCCCCTCCCCCTGCTCCGACAGCCTCTGCCTCTTACAAACTGGCAGAGCAACTATGAGCAGCAATAGCCCACAGCTGATCCTCCTTTTCCGTGAGTCTAAAGAGGCAGGGCTGGTTTTCAAACATGAAAACCGGTGTGTGAAACTCTGAGGTCATACTACGCTCTCACGGGACGGCGGAGTACACAAGAACGTGTTTGTGGTTTGGTGGGACATATCCCATGGGTCTCTGGTGCGGCGACAAACGTATAATTATGGCTACCCGCGTTCCCGCACCACAGTCTGTCACCGTGGGTACCAAGAAGCGTCACAAAGCCCTTCCAAGCACTACCAAAATCCAACTGCTTAGTGGAAAATCCCTCTGCTCTCTGCCACTTGGCTATCTTTACTTCTTCTCTCACAGAGATGTCCATAAGCATCTACACTGTGGACATTTCGGCTCAAATTCCTTCATATATCCAGAGTAAGACTGCTGCATCTAACAATAACACTCATCAAACACGTTTTAATGATGCTAACGGTCATATTTTGGTAACAGTGGCACAGAATTAGAGCAAAGCTGCCACGTTTAACTCTTCTGGAGGGCAAACAGTTTTAATAAAGGCCTGATAAAAGGTTTTAAGAAATACTACTACAAAATGACCATTTGTGAATCAATTTGTCATGCTGTGTAACCTTGAGGTTGTGAGGAAATTTGCATGCCTCCGCAGAAAACTGCGAACATACTGATTTACTGCTCAAATGGGGACCACCTTTAACAACTGCAAAACTATATTAAAACATCCATTTACAAAGTTTCACACAGCTTGTGCAGTATAATCCAAGTCTCACTGATCCAGACCTATGTTCAGTGCTTCCGAAAAAACATGCATTTTCGCTAAGAAGGGGCCTTAATATGGCTTTAAAAAGAGCACAGATAAGTTTCACTTTCAGTTCAGTTTTAAAGACATTTATAAAATATATATTTAAATGTAATTTTTGAGTGAAAAAGCATGTTGTGTTGGAGTTTGTAAACAAATGTTCCCCGTCAATTACTAAATCACTGTGTTTGCCATTTTCTGTGGAGGCCTGCAAGAAAAACGAAAGCTTCCTTCATAAATTCAAGGTAACAGCATGACTAAACGGTACACAAATGGTAATTTTGTGGGTGAAGTACTCCTTTAAACTTTGGACAACTGTTCCAGCACCTAAAAAACTCCTGGTTGTTAAGCAGTCTCCTCCCAAAGATCTGATAACAACCTCCGCCCAGGCCAGCTTGCTGTGCTAGATATGATGTCTTCACTCCCCACTGGGACAATGATGCCAGAAAAGGAGCTGCGTCCTGATGATTATCTCCAAACTGAGAGTTAATTATGATCCAATAACACATGCAATAAACTGTAGATAGGCAAGTAAAGTAACACTGAAAAGTTAAATGTAATTTAGCATAAATAAATCTAATAAATAAGTTTACTGTGTATAAACACAACCTGTCCATTTAGTTTTGCCAAAAAATCGTGCCACTAAAGCAGCATGCTCATCAGGTCCATTGCAATGACATACCTGAATGGAATGCAGCCTTTATTATTGTTCATACTTTTATCTTCATCTGTTACGAGAATGGTGTGTTAGGTCACAAATGCTACGACAAAATGCTTGTTACCTTAATGTAAATGTGTAACTGATCTTATTGTACATAATGGATGAAGAGTACGTTCAATGTGCTAGCAAAAGGCAAGGTCCCTCATTAGTATGCCTTAAAGCAACCTAAACAAGGTAACAACACACCCAAAACACAGGACAGAAACATTCACAAACACATGAGGCTGTTGAGCCAGCGTGATTTGATTAGCCTCTGCCCAGAAAAGTATGCAGTATGCAGACCGGCCACCCAATGTGTTTTGGTCTCCACTAACAAACTTGGAGGGAAGAGAGGCCCAAATCACATCAACAAGATGGATCACAAAGCGCTACGAGCAATCCCAATCCCACCTGACCTGCCTGGACTGAACATCAGAACCACGACACAACTGAGAGACGGTCACTACACAGCAAATTCATTCTAGCTCCAATTTCCCCTGCTCCATTAGATCATGACATCAGCATGGAGTTTAGGCGAGAGACAGAAGAGGAGGAGCATTTATGCCCTGCGTCTGAATCATACACTCTGTGACCTGAAATGTGTTTCCTCTAACCAGCACTAAGTGACTCTGTTTTTATGATCGTTGGTGCTGCAGAAAAGGAAAGAGGGATTATTTTCATGTCTGGGGACACAGGGATGACGCCAGCCTTTCACACATAACATGCACCTCGCCGAAGAAAAAGACCTGAGCCACTGGGGAAACCATGGAGCAATCATTAGTGACAGTAACAACAGCTCAATGCTCATGTCTGGTGTCACCACAGAGAATTTGCAAATCAATTATCCCACAACACCAAACACTGGTAGTTCTGTGCAACAGATGACTGAGCATGGTGTTGGGATTAGGTATTGGCTGTTCCTGAGCTCAAACAAGCCCTTAGATCAACAATGAGTCACCTCTACATTAGCGCGCCTGTTGCTATAGCGATATACAGCACCTCCCAAGTGCTTCCAGGTTGAAGTAAGACTCGACCTTGTAGCTATGAGTTTAACTTGTACTGTTCCACCTTGTGTCTGCCCTCAAACTCACCTGCATGGCAGCAACAGGCATACATAGCAGCTGCTGTACTTTTTACTGTCTGGATGAAGAGATGGTAATCATTTAAGTGCAGCACTCATAACAGGATGAGCATGTAGCCTATGAGTGTGCATGCCATAGCATATCTGCAAAGTGCTTGTGTAACTCACACATGGGTGTATGTCAGTCCTGTCAACAGGCAGAAAGTGGAGAGCCTGCACACACACAGGCAGTAAAACTGAGGTCACCACGAAATGTTTCATGTTAATTGCAGCTGATATGTGTCAAGTGCTCTCACAGTGCAAAGTCCCACTCATCTGAATTAATGTGCACTGAGGGGTAGTCTAATCTGTGTGTGTGTTCTTGCCCGAGAGCAGTTACGACATGCTCTAACCAGTGTGTTTATAACCAAAGGCCTGTCTGCATGCCATCTTAACAGCCAATGCACTTCCTCTTCTCTGCTGGCTGGCCTGTGTGTATGTGTGTGATTGTGCTCTCCCTGGATGGGTTGAGTTACATGCGTACACACTCTAAGCGTCTCTCAATGGGGTGGAAACCTGCTAAACAAGCTGCTATAGAGCGAGCCTGTTTTGTTTCTTTATCTGCAGGGTGATCTCACTCGCTGCTGATGTGGGAGAGGACAACAGGACCGTCCTGTTGAGGAACACTTTAGCCTAACCTTCATACCACAGAAAATTGAGACACGTCAAGCGTATTTCCTTAACTGCTAAGGTTTTGTCAAAAACAGTGACAAAAGAGGAACACGCTAACGGAAGTTGTGTCTGCTACAGATGTGAACTTGTGCTGTTCCACAGAATTTTGACAAAAGACTGAGTGCACTGAGGTCAAAAGCTATGCTTGACGTAATACACACTGGATATAAAATCAGCTGCAACAATCCACATCCCTGAGGGAAAGGAGGTGCCTCCACTGCTTTGACATACTGACCTTCCCACATCTGAGAGAATAAACATACTAATCTAACAACAAACTGAGCTACAGACCAAATCACAATTAATGGTACATACAAATTGTGTAAGACTTTACTGTGGTAAAGAGTTCCCACTCAAAACTAAGGCCAAATAGACGGATGGCAAAACATCATCTGCGCTGTGCTTAAATGAAAATGAAGTGCCACAGTGTGCACTTAACAGACATAAACATTAGTTGCTGTCATTTTTATAAGGATTTAGTTTGTCATGTTTAAAATTTCAGCATGTAAAGAGGGAACCAAGCACAAAAGACATTAGCTGACACTTTTAGAGAGCATAAATACTGTGCAAAGTAATGGCAATAATTAGAGGAGCAACCTGAGAGCCCACTGGAGCAATCTTAATTTTGTACCTATCAGCATTTTATGGCTGTCATGTTCAACAAGGAAAGCCTGCACTTGAGCTCTTGGTACGAAAAACTTCATAAAAACTGGTGTGCCACGTAAATTACTTACGTACGCCAAGCTGTTGAACCTGCAGCCACTTTCAGGGCAGTTCAGTCACGACAAATACGTAACTTAATTTTGACGTTACGTGCTAGCAGAGAGGAGAAGCTAACGTTAGCTTAGCCTTTTACCAAAGGGCATTTTCAAGCGTCTCGTACCTGCTAGACAATATTTAAAAACACAGTTTGGGAATGTTAGACCACACAATATATTATTTCAACTATGAGGTGATTGATAATGCTTATTTAATGACCCACAACCACTTACCTGCCAACAAAATTCTCCAAGACTGAGCTTTTTCCAGCACTCTGTCCACCGACCACAGCGATCTGAGGAAGGTCTAAATTACAACTCTGGCCAATGGAGCTGAACGCGTCTTGAAGCTTGTTGATCAGGGGAATCAGGTCCTCCATACCCCGGTTCCCCATGGCTTCGTTAGCTCGGAGAGCCCCTTCAACACAACGCAAACCAGAGCCTACCGCTAGCCGCGCTAACTAGCTAGGTAATGTTAGCTTAGCAGGAAGGTGCTCTCGGATTACTCTGAAGTGTAGCGCCGCGCCGCTTCAAACAGCTCGGGCTTTTATTCTCTCCGTGAACAGTCGAGCGGTTGCCGGTAATGCAATTAATAATAATATATCATTTCGTGTTCTTTTGAGAGCATTAACTTAGCAGCCAGTCAGTCGACACGGACGGAAAACTCGGAAAACAAAACTTCCTCTACACGAACACCATCCGGTCAGAGGAGACGACATCCGATCGAAACCGGTGAGTCAAGACCCGCCTCTTGTCTGCGAAGCCACGCATTCTATTGGCTGATTCTGCTGCCTCTCAATCAAGCTAACATTCTGATTGGATATCGAAAGGGCGTGCTCCAAGTTCCGAACAAATTGCTCGTTTCGGATTGGTCAACGCGAATATCAGTTGAAGCGGCTTCATATCACATGTTCACCGCAACATGGCTGCTACCATCGAGTGCGGCGCTGATACAAACACTTCAGAAAACAGCATGTCCGTGAAAAAGGCGCTGTCCGCAGTTTCTCCCCTCACTTTGCGAATCGTTGCTGAATGCCCGGTGACGAAAGCAAGAGCGTGTGATCTAATGCTGCCACACAGTGCTGTCAGCACCCCGGTTTTCATGCCTGTCGGCACTCAGGGGACCATGAAGGGGATCACTGTGGATCAGCTGGATGGTCTTGGCTGTCAGATTTGTCTTGGAAACACATATCACCTGGGCATGAGACCGGTAAGCAACACTACAATAAGATGTGATCCATTTGGCCTTAAAGGGGAACACCACTTAAATTAAGAATCCAATATGTTATTTCCATGGACTACGAAAGTTCAATTAGTATCTGTTAACATGCGCTACTCTGTCTAAAATCTAGAAACCAGAGAAGTAAGTCTCAACTTGTGATGTCATAGGGTTTAAGTCTGCAGCTCCTCCACAGACAATGAATGGGAGCCTGCTTTTGTGGATCCACTTGGTGTTTTTCTTTTTTATACCCAAATTATCTTTATTCTGTTGTAGTGCTCTCAGCTCTGAAACAGATAATGCACCCATACACCTGGTGTCATTTATAACATCTTTCCCAATTCACTGACTGTGGAGCAGCTCCAGACTTTATACCCTATGACATCACACATTTAAGTTTTAGCACTCTAGTTGTTTATGTTGACTAATATTTTTGGACTTTCTTAGACCATCCATCCATCCATCCATTCATTCGTTTTCTGTAACTGCTTGACATTGGGAGAGAGGCGGGATACACCCTGGACAGGTCGCCAGACTCAGGGCTGACACATAGAGACAGAAAACCATTCACGCTCACGGACAATTTGGAGTCACCAAAAAACAGCACGTCTTTGGACTGTGGGAGGAAGCTGGAGAAACCCTAGTCTCGCTCACCAGACCTTTCTCAAGAAAAGATAGGTCTGGCTGGGCCGACTCTCACTGTGAGATTGGAGAAAAAAATGCCCTGGCTGCTTGTACTTCTTTCAACCAATCACAATCGTTCTGGGCGGTGCCACAGCAATGGTGCGCTTGCAAAAATATTGCCGGGGGGAAACAGGTTTTGGTGTAACACGCCCACAAAAATATCACCTACAGGACGCGAACCATGGCAGAAAAATGGCTACATCCCCGCAAGATCAAACACCGCAAAAGTTAGTAAAGGACGTGTTGAAAACGGTTGAAAACTGCTACACAACCGGAGGTGGTAGGGCGGGACTTCAGTGGTGGCTCCTTCCGTCCAATGAGAGGCTGATCTCTGCAGCAAACTTCCGCCCACTCAGACTAGAGAAACCCATGCTCACACAGGAAGTACATGCAAGCACAGAAGGGCCCTCCCACCCAGATTTTGAACCAGGGACCTTTTTGCTGTGAGGTGACAATGTTCACCACTGCACCACCCTGTTGCCACTTTCTTAGACCATAGAAGAATAAAATTTATGAATTCTAAAAATGGGTGAACTTCTCCTTTAATAGCAGCTGTATGAATTCATGATAACTTTTATTTGTAAATGTGTTTATCGATTTTAACTCTTTTGCCTCCAGGGGCCTGATTTAATTGAGAAAGCCAATGGTTTACATGGATTCATGAACTGGAAGAGGAATCTTTTAACTGTGAGTGCAGCTTTCCCAAATGAATCAATAAATTATTGATGATGAATTCACCCAAGTGCACGTGCTGGGTGATGAGCTTTCTGTTGACATCTTGTGTTTCACTTTCCTCCACTCGCAGGACAGCGGGGGGTTTCAGATGGTGTCTCTCGTTGAGCTCTCGGAGGTCACTGAGGAAGGGGTGAAGTTCAAGTCCCCCTACGATGGCAAAGAGATCCTCCTGAGTCCTGAGAAATCCATCAGCATACAGAACAGTCTCGGTCTGTCGAAAAAATTTGAATCAGTATTAAGTTACAGTAACATAAATAATTTCCCCTCAGGGATCAATAAAGTATTTCTGATTCTGATTCTGATTCTGAAGTTACAAAGACTTGAACAATTTTCCAGTGGATAAACACAGCCGCTTCATGTTTCTTTGTGTTCTTTAGGGTCAGACATCATGATGCAGCTGGATGATGTGGTAAGCAGCACCGTGACAGGACCACGGGTGGAGGAGGCAATGCACAGATCCATTCGCTGGCTGGATCGATGTATAGCAGCCAATAAAAATCCAGACAAACAAAACCTTTTTGCCATCATCCAGGGAGGACTGAATGCAGAGCTGCGCAAAGCCTGTCTCGATGGTAAAAAACAATTCTACTCTGTGATCCTTTTCCTACTTTTGATTACCCACCCCTCTACCTGTATATCTGGTATTGTCAAGCATGCTGGAGGATGGGATCCTATTTAGATGGAGCCTTTAATCTTTAAATGCCTTTAAATTTAATTACTTAAAACAATTTTGTAAGTGGCCATATCAACTAGAACACTAGAACAGGTCGCAAGGATCATCCCTCACCTGGGCAACCCAGCCGGGGATGATCAGGCCCCGAACTGTATCCAAATAATCCAAAGCCAATAGGAAGCCTTTTCAGCAGCTTCCATGATGTTCTTGATGACTATTCATTGCTGCTGAACGCAGATCTCAGGACCCGATGTAGAGAGGGGTGTAACATAGCTTTTTTTTTTAAGAGATATTCATTAGGCCTATATCTCAGCATTTCTTTTATATCTGCGTGGAAAACTAAATTAAAAGTAATTTTTTAAGTTTATATTATTATCTAAGGTATAAATAAAAACACAAACTATATTCACAGTGTCCACTTTCAGCTAAACAACATATTGCATGAATAAAAGTACGCAGTTAAAGCAGCTGAAGACCTAATAGAACAATGGCCAAGCGTCACGGAGAAGAAAAGACTGAATTTGTCACAGACGGAGTGTATTAAATGTGTGTGATTGTTAAAAATAAAAAAGATATACATAAGACAGACAGACAATCACATTAAAACTTGTGAAAAAATATCAGAAAAACTCATTTCAGAATATTCACAGGAAATAATCTGCTCAAAATTCATCCAAATTGCCTGTTTGACACAAACTTCATGTAGTTATTTCGTTCACTATTTGGGTTAATGGTGTGGTGTATCAGTTGCTCTGTACAGTTATTATTATGCACTGAATGGACATATGGACATATAAGTGACATATTTTATATCACATGAGGGAGTATGTGTGAGTCAAACAGGTGGCCGGCAGCTTGGATAGTAACAGTCTTGCTTAGCGTATCAGGATGTGAAGAGGAATCAGGATATTTAATGTCACATTTAAAGAGCATAAATATTGTGCAAAGGTATCGACAACAATCTGCCGTTTTGGCAAAGAAAACAGGAATGTATGCTCACACTAAATGTCCAGTCTAGTTGAAAACGTGCCACTTCTCAGCAGTTAGATGCCGATGATACGGGATATAATATTTTTCCTGTTTTTCTGAATTAACGAGATTATTATTTTAGAAATCTGAGAGAAGTTTCCATGGAATAAAAGTTCTGCTCTATGTAATAATAATCTCATAAACTCTAATCGAGATAAGATACTAATCTTGTTAATTCAGAAAAAAATGAGCTGTCTTAAGTGAAGGTGTTATGCTTTAGATGTCTTATCCCCTTTCCCGTAGAAATGACTCAACGTGATGTTCCTGGTTTTGCCATCGGAGGACTGAGCGGAGGAGAGGAGAAGGATGACTTCTGGCGGATGGTCACTCTGAGCACTGACCACCTGCCACGAGAAAAGCCGCGATACCTCATGGGTGTGGGGTACGTTTGCCTGTACGCTTAAAGTATCTCATGAGAACTTGGGTGTTTATGGTTTTATAGACTGTGTGTGATCCTCCTGTGCTGCAGGTATGCTGTGGATTTGGTGGTGTGTGTAGCTCTGGGATGTGATATGTTCGACTGTGTGTTTCCCACCCGCACTGCAGTAAGCTCTCTTTGATGATCACTTTTAAATTGTCATTTAGCAGTTTTTATGCCATATCAAAAACTGATTACATCTGTGTTTCTGACAGCCATGTTTCTTTTCCTTCAGAGGTTTGGCTCTGCCTTGGTGCCTTGGGGATCTCTCCAAGTGAAACAAAAGCAGTATGCCAAGGACTTCCAGCCCATAGACCCAGACTGCCAGTGTCCCACCTGCAAGAGGTGAGTCAAGAACAAACAGAAGATCACTGTGTGCCTGGAGGTTCGGCTCTCGTAACAAGTCTTGTTATTTTTCAGGGCATGTTTTCTGTATCAGGACAGGTATTAAAGTTTATAAAGCACCGCGGTGCCCAGGAAGACCTTGACTTTACTTGTTGCTCTGCAGGCATTTACTTATTTTTATAATCTAGAAGAATAATTTGGTGATACAAGAGTACCTCAGTCTCTGCATTTGTTTTTATTTAATGTTTTGTGTATTTTCCTCGTGTAATATCTCAGCAATAAAACACCAGAATAGACGAACAGCTACCTTAAATGGTTACCTTGCTCTTACGTTTGGTGCCAGTGGATCGTCTTGAGACAGTTTTTACCACATAAATATTTTAAAACTATATTGCTGGAGGAATGATGTAAATAATTTGCCTGTTTTCTGTTTCAGACATAGTCGGGCTTACCTCCATGCTCTGTTCAAGAGCGACACTGCAGCCATGCATCACATCACCATCCACAACATTGCCTACCAGGTCAGTATTAGAAATTAGAAAGTGTTGCATTTGTCTTGCAAGTGTACTCCTCTTCAACGTTTGGTTTACTTCCTGGATTTTTCCCGCATGAAAATTCTGACCAATGAAGACCAGCTTTCTCATGCAAGGCATTTGATCTAATCCTCCTGTAAATGCTGCCGTGAGAACACGAACCAACTCTCGGCAATTATGCAACTTTATAACAAAATTAGTCCCTGATTTAGACCAAAGCAAGACAACTCTAGGTCTGAAAGCACCCTTAAGTGTTAACATCATATCATAACTGCAAAATAAATCAAGATTTAACAACAACAGAAAAAAAACATTTTACCACTTAAAGGTCCAGAGTGTAGGATTTGGGGACATCTGTTGGCAGAATTTGAACATAATAATTATAACTATGTTTTCATTAGTTTAGAATCACCTGAAACTAAGCATTGTTGTGTTACCGTGACCTTAAAATGAGCCGTTTACATCTACACACAGAGCAGGTCCTTCTCCACTGAGTCTGCTGTGTTGTTTTACAGTAGCCCAGAATGGACAAACCAAACATTTGCTCTAGATAAGGTAAACTGTATGTTTGTGTTTTCATGTCGGCCACTGTAGTTCTCCTATACGTTTGGCACATGTGAGAAGTTGCAGTTGATTGCAATATGCAACCTCACCACCAGATGGCACTAAATCCTACACATTAGACCTTTAACAAAATACAGGCAAGTCCCCTAAAAAGGATAAGTTTTGATTTTTGCCTCCAGATGTTATTAAAAAAAAAAAGAACGAATTCTAAAATGCTAATGTAAGTGCTGTTTATGTAAATTTTAGATAAAATTGTGTGGGTATTAAATTCAACATTGTGGCAAAAACATGCCATGAGCAATAATGTATGCACACTATTAACATTTTCATAATAGTCTATATTTACATTTTAAACCCAATAACTTAAAATTACCACAGAATTATTGTTTATTGATTTCCTTATTTGCTTTAAAGGAGCTGATATACCTTAACCACACTTAAATACATGTATTAAATGTGTTTTATTAGTTTATCCATCTCTCTCCACAAAGAAAAATCATCCAGAGTTGCAAGTTTATATAATGTCCACGAAGTCGTAATTGCGGCGACAGAAATCTGACATAAGATGTTGAACTTTACAAAATGTATGAGACATGATTCAGACCGTGTCCTCCCCTCAGTCACGGTTATTTAATCCTTCTCTGCACCTCAAAGTGGCACAAACTTGCTTTGCTGTTTTGGCATTATCAAAACCATGAACAGTCTCCTTTTGTGACAGATGTGTCCCAAAGTATAATAATCATGTTTAGAGAACATAACCGATAATGTCTGATTATGCAACGTATTCATTTTTGAGAAGTTTTTTAAAAAAAGGTTTTCCCATTTAAGCCGTCTTTTACCTTGGCTGTGTCCGTGTTGGTCGGTCACTTTGCCATCAGATGTCACGCTGTGAAACATGTACATGTCACCCTAAAATGTTGTCATGCTAAATAGTAGCATGTAAACATTCCTACTATATGCTCTGATGATGCTGCCCTGGAGATGACCCATGCACAAGATGCAGAAGAGAGGATGGCTTCCTTCTGGAGATCAATAATCGCATTATTTCCAATCCATTCATCAATCATTTCTCTTTGCAGCTCACCCTGATGCGCTCTGTGAGGCAGAGCATTGTGGAGGGCCGCTTCCCCGAGTTTATACGGACGTTCATGAAGCGAATGTTTCCCTCTCGCGACCAGTACCCCAGCTGGGCCGTGGACGCTCTAGCCTCTGTCAACGTTACATTGGATTAGAGCTTGGGAGGCAGCCGTCTCGCTCCAAATGGGGATGTCAAACAGTGACTGAAAGCTTTTATATCTTTTTAAATGACTTTTTTTATGGATGATTGTTTTCCACTCTTTGTTTATATTTGTATATGTATTGCCAGTTTTGTTGGCAATGAAGAAAATGGCTTTTGATCTGAAGGGATAAAGCCAGATTGTCTTTTGCTTTACTCAGCCTCTGCAAATTGTCCTCAGAGTACACATTATCATAATGTGAGACTGAATGGGGTTTAAATGAGGTTTGAAACACATGAACTATCTCCTCTGATATGCGCCGACACTTTTTGTTGTTACCATGGCTACAGAGCCAGGCGCACCCACTTGAAATGTTTCTGCCTTCCTGTCAACCCCCGAGCACATTACAGAGGTATTTCATTTTTTGCCAAAAGCACAAGATTAATAAATGTATGTGTATTCTGGTGTTTTAACCTACATCCTAACAGACTGCTAACTGTTTGAACAGATGAATGAATTCAGCTCGGTGCAGATTGTGTGTGTGCATGTGTCGTGATGACCACCAGAGGGCAAAATAGACAATACCAGAACAAAGTGACTGTAAAAGTGAATGATATGCTGTGTAAGTTTCCTGGTAGAGTAAAAAGCAGATCAGCTGTTTCTAAGTAAAAATGAAAGTAAAAATAGCATCTGATTTACATCACGTTTTGGAGCTCAAATGTAGGAGGGAACAAAAAACACTGATGTCCAAATTACCCACAAACTAAAAGTCAGCATCCATTTTAATAGTATCAAATTATTTTCTGTTGTTACTCTATTGTCATCCGTTCAATGAGCAGTAATCATTTTTGACCCTCTGCGGGAAGGGTTTTGTTTGGTGCTGCGTCGTTGAGGCTGTTTGTGAGTGATTAATATTAATCATTGGAACATCATTTGAATAACACCTGTTGTCTGTGGCTTTGAGTCAACAGCCCTCTTAAGCACCACATTTGAATTTCATTAAGGCCTCTGTTATGTCCACGGGCTCTACAAGATTAAACCTGTGTCATGTAATGAGTGGCAGGCAAACGGATGTGGAACACAACGGCGTGGCACTTCAAAAGACATGATGGGTTCGGTGCATAATAAATAAGTTGTTTACAAGTGCATGCATTAAGTGTTTGTTAATTTGTTACAAGATGGGCTAACTGAAATATTCATAGGAGGAATGTTTCATGATAATAATGTAGATTTGGGAGGCATGTCCACCTCAATAGAAGCATAAAAGTAGCACATGACCTTTATTTTTGGGGAAATTAAGCACATTTACACCATAAATTGATGCAGCAAAGGCACAAATTGGTGCATAACATGTCAACTTGCAGGACATTAAGTGTTAAATGCTCAATTTTGTTCTGGCAGAGGACTCTCAACCACCAAAATCTACACCCCTGGATAATAGTGAGTCCATGGTGACCTTTTGTAGCTCCCATTTAGAGTAAGGTCTAATTAAATGCTTGTGTTGTTTTTATGCACATTACAGGATTATGGTTCCTTATGCACATTACAGGATTATGGTTCCTTTTCCACAAGAAGGGGTGTTTTTCTTCTAGAATATTTTCTGCTTCCACTGTGTATTTGATTATATTTAGCACATGGATGCTTAGTGAGGGAGCAACAGCTCAGAGCTCAGTTGGCAAGCTTGCGCTAAATTAATTGGATGTGTTGTGCATATTCCAGCAAGACCATTCACATGTCATATGAGCCTCCTTAAACTGACTCCAGAACAACTATAACCCCCATTATATTTAAGGGCATATAGCATAAGACAAAAGTACACCTCTCCATGCAGGAATAATAAATGTACGTAAGCGTCGTTTGGACTCACGACAGAAATGCGCGCAGGTCTCCACAGAAGTATGCCAGACATTTGTGCGGATCACGTGTGGCTATATGTGTGACAGTTTTATCATCATTCAGGATCACAGAGGGTGTTGTGCTCATAGTGTGTGGTTGTTGTTCAGTATCAATAGTGTTGTATTGTTTTTGTAATTGTTGCTTTGACATGAAAAGTCGTCGCCACAGTACAGTAGTCCCTAACGGCTGCTTATACATTTGCAGCCAGTGTGTCCATGCGGAGCTCAGGCAGGGAGGATGCTGCTGGTGTTGAAGAGAGACAACCAGTTGCTCTCCAGCTGTCGCTGTAAAAGTGGAGCCTCCCCTACGCACCGACGGATGAACATCCTCGACCTGTTGCCTCGGCGGGGAGAAAAGTAGAGCTGCGTTGCGACGGTGCCAAGAAAACAAAGAAGTTGGGCTTTATTTCTGTTTAGGAAGGAAGGTCGAAGACGATGCCATGAGGTGTATCAATGTGTTCGTTACTAATTTACGTTTTGAATAGCAGAGGGAAGAGGAGCGGAGTTGGTTTTGGGGGGGTCCACCTCCTTGGTGTGGAGGTGCTGTTTGCGGTGATATCTGTCTCTATCTCTGGGCTCTGAGGAGGAGGACCATGGTCGAACTGGAAAAGGATGTACTCCCGCTGCCCCCGCGGTACCGGTTCCGAGACCTGTTGCTCGGGGACTGGCAGACCGACGACAGGTAAGGATGCAACTACTTGTATGGTTTACGCACGGCGCACTGAATCCGTTGCGCATCTGTGCGCCATGAGAGCATCACATCACCTCGTGTATAAAGTGCTCATTTGGTTGCGTTTTCTCCCTGTGATCTGGTTGATACGGTTGTATGAATGTGTTGGAGTATTTTACTGCCAGCTGTGCAGCTCTGTTGTTATGGATGCTGCAACAGGTTTACTCGTTCCCCTGTGTGCGCGGAGGCGACTGTTGCTAATACTGCTAATTCACTGTTATCACACCAAAAGCAATACACTAATTAAACCACATATGAGAAAAAATACTCAAGAGAATCAGAGACATAATGTTCATTCAGGAATATTTATTTCATGTATTTCCACGTCATACAAGTGGCGCATCTTCTATTTGAAACATCAAACAGTTTCTTGGATGGCACCCACCAGAAGAGCGAGCGAGCAGGGTACAGTGTGTTACCCTATTTATGTTCTCCTCCTGCCATAATTCCTGATATTTGCAGTGATCCATCTGCCACCTGGACAGGCGATTTTGAGTGGGTGCTCTCAGTTACCAGCAATTAACCTTTGCTTACTCTCCATTTGCAGGGCAGAGGATCTGACATGCTATACGATATGCATTGCTTAATTTGGCTATTTCATTATGCCGTCTAATGGAAAACCTTAACCTCAATTTCATGCTTGGTGTCTCTTGTTGTTGGGTGGAAATGCAGACCAAAACACTCGCTTGTGGGCTTGAGTGGGTGTTTAGAATCAGATAATTGGGGAAACTTGCCATTGAAAGCAAGGAGATCAGATATTGGCTTCACTGAAGAGACTCTGCAGCGTGCAACCTCAGAGGCCTTTCAGTGATGATTATCGTATTATTAAAACTGTCTATGCAAAACATGGAGCATTGTTCGTTTTTGTGATAAATCATACCATCATACTGCGTATCCGCATCCATGACCTCTGACATGGCCTTATTGTGCACAGCTGAAGCCTAAACCAGCCTGCTCACTCTGGTCATGCTCTTCTGACCTTTTGTAATTTGTCAGCTATTGCCCAGGGACTAATGTTTCCGAATCAGAGTGCAGTGTGACCTCAGTCACCTGATTAGAGGTTCAGTGGGAAAAGGTTTTGCTGCTTTTTTCTTGGAAGTCCATGAGACACAAAGGGGCTTTTTATAGCCCACGCTCCTCATCTTATAAAAGAGGCGAGAATAAAATCAAAACAGGTGACAAACGGGGTAATTTCACCAAATATATGTAATGAAAACAAAATATAGTGACAGCGTGAGAGGTAGATTTTTGATAGATTTGGTTGGTTCAGATGCTGCTGAGACAGTTTAAAAGGACTGTGTGTGTGTGTGTGTGTGTGTGTGTGTGTGTGTGTGTGTGTGTGTGTGTCGGTGCCACAGATGTGATGTAATACCCTCTAAACACATGATGTGGATGAGTGTTTTCAGGGATATGCTGGTGTTGAACACTTTATGGGCTCTAGAAGGTGCTGAGGTTTAAATTAAACTTGTATGTTACATTTATTTGGTCCTATTGCAGAGCTGTAATTCCAGTGCAGGTGTGCTTCCTGCTTCATATATTAGATTGATCCAGCATTTGTAGCAAAGTAGAAATTTTATATCTCTTATGCAGTGGTGTAAGGTAGATGTGACTGGCCCCAGTGCGCGCACGCACACACACTCACACTCCATTGCTACTGACTATTTTCACTATGACAGAGATGGGTTTGACCACAGGTGTATTTTAGAGGTGCCAGTTTCTCCTATTGTTCTGAATATGACAATATTCTTAATTTGATACAGGTCATGTAAACAGCATAGTCCATGTAAATTTTCCAAATTAAGCCATATTTCAATTATAGCATTTTCCATTTAAAATGTGGGACATGCGGGTGTTATTTGGGTTTCAAAAGCATTTGGAATATGCGTCTCAACTGGGGTTTTTATCGCATTTTGCGACACACAGCCTCTTGTTACTTAACGGTTGGCTCTTTGTGTTCATGTGAAAGACTTGGATATCAGCAGGTTTTTGGATATGTGCAATTATCGTAACAACAACCTTTTGAAGAAGCTGGTTGAAGGTATGAAAGATGGAGGCTGCGTTTGCACGGTCAAACAAGTCCGCCACTGCTAAGAAAATTTTGACAGTGCAAACCAGCAAAATGACAAGCAGCTCCAGTTGTTCCAATTTTTCTGTATTTTTATGTGATGAACAATATGTTATGGCACATTAATGATAATATGCTCAGCTGCATGTAAACGGGAGTATTAGTGGAATATTCATTTTAATTAGCCGCATAAATAGCTTAGTAGCAATATTGTCTTTTTTGGAATAAGGGCAAAACCCAGAATACTGAGCTCAGTCACACTCTGAAGTCATCAAAATTCGGCGCTTGGGCAGTGACTTGTGGCATCAGAACCCAACGAAAACAGGTGTCCTTTAACATTGGCAGGATACGCGGCCAGTTGCTGTTATAGTTTAATGGCATCAGGAGGAAACGTGGTGGGACAAGGATGAAAGTTAAGGTGGCGAATGTCCAAGTGGGGCGGGAGGGTTGGTGGATGGCTCCATGAAACACTGACAAAAGCTGACTTTCACCTGGGAGAGTGGTGTTTGCGTCCCGTAAGATTCAAAAGCCAAACCCTGTGTTTGTGTTGCCTAAACCCTACTATGTGTGTTTGTTGTTGAAGGAAATAAACGTCAATTTGCAGTGTTGTAACTGCGTAGTGCATTTATTTTGAAAGAGACTCTATGCAAATGTTAAATTTCCTGGGACAATGGAAGTGTATCTTGAAAGAAGAGAACTTGACACAGTGTCCCAGAGCATCAACAACCAACGTTGCAGTACCAAAAGTCCGTGACCAAAACGTTGATATGTGACAAGGTAGGAGTGAGAATGTGTTGGAATATTTGTGTAATCATAGTGACTATTGGAGGGCCCACTCTCTGTATAGAACCCCCCCACCCCAGGGCCCCCTGTGTAACAGCACTGCCTGTGCTGTCTATATGTATGCCCATGCTCTGATGAGCGTAACTGTGTGTGTGTTTGCCACGCTCCAAAGCTAAATGTGTGTGTGCTTTCATATATAAACGAACGTTGTGT